GGAAAGAGTACTCATTTTGTCTCTGTCCCCTCTGCCCCTGTTCTCCTCAGATAAAAGGGAGTTACATAATGAATAATATAATATCTAATGATTCTAAGTTCTAATGACAGTGCATTCAATGTCACTTCATCAAATTTATTTACCTCTCATACCTTTCTTCACAGACCAATCCTCCCCGCCCCATTTTACTCCATCACCAAACATAGGCAGGCAGCCTCCTCCCCTGGTCTACATCCTCAACCCCTTCTCTGTAATAGTCTGCCCAAACCTCGCCAATGTAGAAATGATGGTAGGTGTGGCAAAACGAAAGGCTGAGAGGGAAAGTCCCCCCAGATACATAGGCATTTATTGTAGACTGGCCTCCACTAGGAAGGGCTCAGAGGCCAGAACTCTCAAAGGCCTCGAGGGAGCTCCTTTTCTTGTGGAGTTCACGAGTTTTTTCTAAAAACCAAAGAAAGTTTCCAGACCCTAATGGTTGAAAAGGGTTCTTAGTGTGGGAATTCAGAAAGAGATGCTCTTCATTTTGCTTTTACATTTGTATATGGGCTTAAGGAATTTCTGTTCTGTGTGTAAATTCTTTCTGTGTGTGATTAGTCACGGTGCTAATGATTAAAAGCTCTTTAGAGATCACTGGGCTGGAATTCAAAACAGGGACTTAAGGACAAGATAAGTAAGTAGTTCCGAACAACATAATTACTGTTTTAGGGTTGTTTTAAAACCTTCATTGGCCTTAGACATTTTCTATTGGAGACCCTGTACCACATGTTAGCAAATATTAAAATGTACTCACATATCAATCAAATTTGTTTTCTGTAAAAATGTTAAATGATATGTTTAATTTTGTTTTTTGAATTCTTTGGCCATGAACAACACATTTAATTAATCATTGGTTATGATTTCCGGGCAGTGTATACTTGGAGATTCTTATAAAGTGAGAAAATCTGATCTATAAATTGTTTTCACATGTAATGAGATATTTACAAGTGCTCAGTTAACAAAGGTTTTACATTTTACGGACATGTAATTAAGCGTTTATTGATGCCTATTTTGTATTTTCTTCACATATTTTGAAGTAATGTCTTTTTTTCCCCTGAGATCTCAAACATTATCAATGGTCCCTGAAAAGTTCTTAGAGCCTAAACATGTGTGGTCTATAGCGCCTGACGGATAAATCAGCTCTGACTGGAAGCTTCTGAACTTTTATTCTCCCTGGGTTTACAATGCAATGAATTCCTTTCCTCTGTAAGACTAATCCAACACATCCTCCCATCAAGTTTTAGCTCAAGATGTCCCTCCCCAAATAGCCTTCTTTGACTAGCTCTTCTTATGGAGGTTTCATGCTTCTAAAAGGCCTCAACTCCGATGGTAACCATATCATCAAAGACACATAGGCTTGCCCAGTGTGTGCATTAACCGGCAGTAATGAGTGAACTGTTGAGGATGCAATTTCTACTGACTGCGCAGCCTCGCACACTTAGAGATGCATTAGAGAAAGAGTATGTTTTGTTTCCCTGGGTGTTGGTCTTCCTGGTGGTTCAAGGTCAGGAAGTCAGCCTTCTTCTTAACAAGCTAAGGAATTTACTAAAAGGAGATAAAGAGCCCCTCTCATTGCGTGGAGTCCATAGCTAAGAATGCAAAACCAGAAAGAACTGAGAAAGTGTAAGCACTACTATTACCTGTGGCAATAGCACAGGAGGCAAAATGAGGTAAAGGAAGTATGCAGTACAAAGTCAGGAGTGTCTCCATCTTGCCAATCATAGCTTCCGAGACTCCCATTGGACGTGAACATTAAAGAATCAATAGCAGACTAGGAATCAAATGCTGCCTTACTAATAGACATCCAGTACCTGAGGGTTTTAATGCTAAGGCTCAAGGAGGGAGAGGCTGGGGTACTTTATTTAGCATCTGATTATGCAGATGTCCTTTGGGAAAGTTTGGTCAAGGGACCTTAGGTCAACTGAAGGAGGCTAAAAGCGTAGGACACAGAATGTACTCTATAGGTTAAACACGCAACATCTCAGGGTGTAATGAAATGAAGGATGATAGAGATCCCCTTGCCTTGCAGGATGATCGACATTGCCTTATTCCATCCACAGAGCTCTACTCTAGAATAACATTCAATATAGCAGAAGACAAAGCAGAAATGAAGGAGTGACTAGTTGGGGTAGGAAGGCTGTCACTCAATATAGCCTAGGGGGAGATTAGGAAAGAAACAATTACTTCCCTAAGTCATTCTGGACTAACCTGAACCTTTTTGGCTGGGCCAGGCCAATCCCAGGAGCTAGTTTGCAGCATTTGTATTGCCTTGACCTGTTTTTGTACAAAGAGCCCTATTGTTTGGCTGTTTGGCTGTTTGGCTGTTTAGCTGGGTAAGTTTCTGGGGAGGGTTCTTGCTGGTGATTCCAATCTGGTGATACCAAATTGCATAGGCGGGTACTAAATCGCCATATTCACTTTTGTTGTTGACGAGATTGCCAGATTTAGCAAATAAAAATACAGGTCATCTAGTTAAATTTGTCATATTTTACCTGGCCACCCTAGCTGTTGAGAAGAAAAATTTGCTTTTTTTAAATTGATAAGGCTTTTTAAAGCTTTGGCCTCAACGTCGAGAAGCTTTCAGATGGACCCCAGCATAATTTCATTATGAATTCTTTCCCCACAGGGATAGGACCGTGATCTTTCCACCTCGCAGGTTCTATTTATTATCTGTTTGTTAACTGGCCCATTTCCATTTAAGCTCTGGGCTGGTATTTGTCTAAGAAGTCCTTCTAGCCTGTCAAATGTCACCTGTGTGTGTCAAAGGCCAACTCTCAGCAAAATTATATGTAGTACAAATTGATGGTAGGCATCGAATACTGGAGAAAATAGAAAAATAGCCAACGGTAATACTCTCAAACCTTACTGTGTTTAAATTATTTTTGCCTCAAATTTTTTTTTTTATTTCTTGGATTTAAAAAATAGTATTTTAGGTCAAATGAAAGTGCGAAACAGAAAATCAATGCTAGATGCAGCCTGTCACAGAATTTTTGTTGTTAGTGCTCCAAACACTAATTCAAATCACCCTGAAATTGTGTCCTCTGGTGGCTGTGGTGAAAATTAGCAGTTGGTACAAGTGTCACTTATGACCTGGTATAACTGAAGCCTTGCTTCTCTAAGCCTTTCTTAATCTACCTAAATTCACGCCAGCCCTATTTTTATGAATGTTTATACATAATATGGTTACTTTTAGGATTTAAGACAACGCAATGTGTTCGAGCAATTCTGAAACTTTAGTGATTCCAATATACTTAACAATCAAAAACAGCTGAAGAAACTTGGCAGAGGAATCAGTACTGGGGGGAATCAATTGTACTCTAGATAAAAATCTGGTTTATCCATTAAAAATAGGCTCTTTCGACAGAATTTCTGATTTAGAAGGCTACATTTTACAGTTTTGGCAGATAGTTCAGTTTCTATAGGGAGCTTATTCTCAGGGTAGAAAGGAGAGAGATATTTGCAGTGATTGTTTTAAGTTAAAATGATTTCATGCACCATTGTTTTAAGTTAAAATGATTTCATGTACCATAGAACAAACTAGTGGACAGTCCTGGTAGCTTAGCACAGAATGAACCTTAGGCTGAAGTATAGACGAATTGGTCTGTTTTTCAGTCCTCTCTATCCTTCTATTCTTCTCTGCCATTGAATCCACCTGGGCCTCCATAGGAGGCCTAGAAAAGAGGAAGGTGGGGAGAGAATACAGAAAAGGGGGACTGTTTATAACTCATGTCTGGACAGTAAACCAGTTGAGTTTGAGGATTCTGTCTTATTTACATTTAATGCAGCCTTTCCGGTCACTATACTAGGAGTCTAAATCTCTCATTACTCAGTTGACCAAAATAAGGTTCTAACTGGCAGATCAAGTTTGCGGATGCAAACTTTGTAGAGGCCAATTATCTTTGAAAAGAGGTACAGGTTTCAAAGCCCAGGGCTTGTACCCTTTAAGCCCAGCCAATTGTTTTCAAATATTGGGTGACCTACATCCTCGTGAGTAATAAAGCAGAGAGTAGATGAAATGGCAAACCATTTATTCTACTAGAAAAACAATTCAAAGAAAACATTTCCACTTCCCCACCTTCTGACCACGTCATAGTGCACTGTCACTTGGCTTCTACCTCCGTCACTCTTCTGAGAGTCGTGCAAAGCTGGCCGTGACCACCTGATGGCTGACTCTGCTGTCTGGCTTTTAGAAGTCTTCTTTCTCAATGTTTCATTACACTCTACACTAGTAACCATCCTGTCCTAATTAAAACACTCCCCTCCCTCGCCCTCCATTGGTTTTCATAACACTATTCCTTCTTTTTTTCTCCAGTCTCTTTGGCTTCTCTTTGTTTCTCTCATGGATTCTTGTTCAATGACCTTCCCCTTAAAGGTGAGTGTTACCCAGGGGCCCATTTCCGATATCGCAGGCTTTTTCTAGTCATTTTGACTTATTACTGTGTTTCAACTTCCACGGTCATATCTCAGCCCATGCCTGCTCCTGAGTTTCAAAACTATAGCACCCATAACACATTCACACCTGTGTTTTAGCAAACTCCCCTTGTATGCCTTGTATCCTAGACACAATCTTATCTTCCCCCTATAGTGTCCCTCCTCCTGCATCCTGTTTCAGGTAATAGCCTCTTCCCTGACCCTGAGGAAATCATTTTAATTCCACCCTTAATCTCTCATCCCAACATCCTGTCTTCAAATCCTGCCATTTCCACTTCTGCGAAATTCCCTCAAGCCTGCTCCTCCTTCCCAGTCTTACCATCACATCTTTAGTGTAGGTCCCCTCCTAACTCTTCAGGTCCCTGTTGCAATAACTGCATTTCTTTTCTCCAGGAGCTCTCTATTCCAATCCATTCTCCACACTGACATCCAAACAGCCATGATATGAAAGCAAAGCTCAGATTGTATTTTGATGCAAATGAAACTCACCAATGGCTTTTCTTTGCTTCTAAGATAAATTCTAAATGGAGCATGGATTAGCAGGCACTTCACAGGCTGCAACTAAAACACATGCTCAGCTCATTTCTCAGCATGCCTTTACATCCTAGCCATAGGAGTCTCCTTGCCATTCTCCAAGCTCGCCATCCCCATTCTATACCTCCTTGACATTGCTAATGCTGTTTCTTTTGCTTTAGAATCTTTCCTTCTCTCACAGAAACATCTTACTAATCTTTTAGTAACAGATTAAATATCTATACCTCTAGAAAGACTTACTTTGACAACCCCCCCACAGGGCAACTCCCTCCCTCCACTTGGGTCCCCATGGTTCTCGGATGGGCCAGTGGGTTATAATTTTGCTTAGAGGTCAGATCAATGTTTACAGACTAGAAATTCCTTAAAGATAGAGGTCATCTTCTCTTATTTATCTGTATGTTCCCAATGTCTAGAACAGTACCTGGTACCGAGTAAATATTTAATATTTTATGAATAAACTCCAAAAAGTGAGTATCAGAAGGGCTAATAATTCATGCTAAGGACATAAACGAAGAGCAGTTTTTCATTTATTACTGGGATATGAACCATTAATGACAGGATGATGGTTTAGTAACTTGCTATTTTATTGCTTTAAATTTACCATTGTAACTTGTTTCATCAACTGCTCTCACCCATCCACATGCGGCATACACTTCTAAAGGCCATACTAAAGTCAGGCAGTTCATCTGTTTTTAGCCTGACAGGACAATGAACTTGAATGGAATCATCATTCATTATCACTAAAAGCATATATATTATAAAAGGATTTAAATTATATAGCCCTCTAACAAATTATGCCTGTAAAATAGTATCCTTCGCATTTTATATTTTGTAACAGAGAACCACAGTAAAGAAAATAAAACTTATTACTCATATCCTTGTAACTAGCTGAGATTATTTAAATAAAATAAAAATTCACTTTATTGGGAGCTGCCCTAAAAAACCCACTGAATTTAAAAAAAAAAATCTTTTTTATGAGAAAGTTTAACAGAAGTTTTGTTTTCTAGGCAAAAATACCTGGCGCTTGTTTTCTAGGAGAACTGCTTCCCAAGTCCACACATCATACAGCACAGCAAATCTGTCCACTCCTGCATGAGCCCATCCCCATTCATGGCCAGCATTTGACTCATTGTTCTCTTTGTGACCTGGAAGAGAAGTGGATGAGAATGACCAGAGTCAGGCCTCTCCACACAGCTATTCCTATTAGAAATGCACTCTCGGACTGTCAGCTCCATCTCAGGAATGAAAACACTGAATGGTAACTGGGATTTCTAAGAATCAGTTAAAGAGCCATCAGCAAGGACCAGGCCCTAAGTTCACACTTGTTGACATCTAAGTCAATGGGGTTTTTGTTTTTACTTTTTAATTGTAGTTTTAAAGACTAATTTTAGAATTATAACCAAATTCAGTTAACATAAATCTTTACTAAAATGTCCTCAAACCTAAAATTTAAAGGCAAAATAAACATTTCTCCTCTAAAAACAGGTCCCTGGTGGTTTAAAAACAAATCCAGTATAACCTGCTACTTCATTTGATGCTAGCCAAGTCAAAATCTTTCAGAGAAGTTGCTAAGATAGTCTTTAATCGTGTTAATCACTAACATATATCAATAAATTTAGTCATTGTCATTATTCAGCTAAAATATTTTTCCATTATATTAATGTCAGATTTTACTATCAGCATTATTAGTGCTTTAAATTTTAAGTGGTCCATCTCAAAATGAAAACATTAAAAAGTAAGAACCTTTCAGGTGCTGAATTCAGTAATTATCAAGTATACGATGGGCACTGAATAAGAGAAAGATCAGGAATTTCTCTAGCAGCAGCTGGGACATCATTTCATGGTGAGTGACTATATACTTATTAGCTCAGTCCAAAGATCTTCATGTGGCTAAATAACTCCTAAGTGTTTCAATCAAATTAAATTCTTAGCAGTTAGAAATAGCTGCATTGTATTACAAATTAATAAGAACAAAAATGATGCATTAGTATGTAGGAAACCAGTAAAGATCAAAGATAAAAGCTGAAATTAAATGCCCCAGAATGTTGGATGCCATCACTGTGTCCCACAATTCAGATCCCAAATGGTCTGTGGCAAAGATAAGACAAAGAGTTCAACCGTATATTAAATTAATTCCATCTGGGATCTGAAAGGTTAATTGTCAAACATTCTTTGAGCAGCATTTTATAACAATACGAACATGAATTATCCTTAATTACAGTGATATATTACGAAATAACACATACCCTTGCTAAATTTCCCTTTAGGTATTACAATGTATCCAGAAACTCTAAGTTCTTTCCAAATATAAGGCTAATGCAGTCATATTATTTCAAGAGCAATAATAGTCTTACCTCACCTATTTCTAAAATTGGATAAACTTGAGTGGTGCCAGAAGGAAGAGAGAATACAGATTATGGGTTATTGATTACCCTGAGTAATGATTTCTCCTTCTGGTGCTTGTCTGGCATTTTCCTAGCCAGATCTTCTTGCACCCTGGTGGTTTTCTGCTAGAAACCAAGGGATGTCTCTGCTTCTAACTGCAGTTTTCTAAGGTCAATCACTTATTTTGTCGCTTAGAAAAAAAATCATTAATTTCACTTGCTTGCTTTGCTTCTCTCAGGGCACTGCATGACATTCTCTGTACCCAGTGGGTGATGCAAAAATGACACCAGGCAACAAGTAGGGTTTAAACAACATTAAGAATTATAACCAAGCCCCGAGAGAATAGTCACAGTCTCCAACAAAAGGGGCCCTTGGGCTGGAAACAGAACTGTATCTTCTCTAAAGTGGGTGGGTATGTGTTCTGGAGCTGTATGTGCTTATTGAATTTTCAGATACTATTGGATATACATTTATATTTTGAAGTGGAAAGTGTTAAATTGAGCCTTTAGTGTTTTTTGCTTGTTTGGCTGGTTGATTTTTAAAAATCTGACCTCTGGGAGTTGGGGAGCTGGGTTAAAAAGGTGAAGGGATTAAGAAGTACAAATTGGCAGTTACAAAATAGTCATGGAGATGCAAAGCACAGTCAGGGATGTACAGTACAGTAGGGAATATAGTCAATAATATTGTAATAACTGTGTGTGGTGCCAGGTGGGGGATCACTTTGTAAGTTATATAATGTCTAGCCACTACGCTGCACACCTGAAACTAATATAATATTGAATGTCAACTGTAATTAAAAAAAATTCTTTTAATAAAAAAATCTGACTTCTGACCTTTTTCTTTCTCAATGTAATGGCTGGCCACAAGCAGAAGTTCTGTCTCTAGCTCCTTCAGATCACTCAAGGCTTTGTCATACATGACATGCACCCCTTGTTGGTCCTGGGTGTAGATGTAGCCAGCTCCTGTGCTGTAGTAGTCATCCTGGTTCTCTACTTCCGAGAACTCCATGAATTGGATGCTGTGGACCTGGGGGAAGAAAGCCAACCCTGGAAGTTACCAGAAAAGGGAGAGCTGTATTTTGCCAGCCCAATGAACCAAACGAGCATTCTGCTCCTACACAGTGTGCTGTCAGCATGGAGCTGTGGACATGCTGAATGTTTGCAGGGCTGTATACAGAGAAAAAGATATTGGCAAAGAATGCTGGCAGGGAAGGTTTGTTTCTGAGATAGGTAACTAGATAGATATCAAGTCTTTTCTGATTGACTTGGGATTGCCTGGAAAAACGCAGGCAATAGAGCCAACTGGGTGTTAAATGTCGTCTCTGAAGTCTGAATGCCTGTGCTCAGGTGCTGGCTCTGCCCGGACCTCACCTTGGGCAAGTCACTCAGCTACTCTTAGCCTCTGTTTCATCATCTGTTAACATAGGGACAGTGAAGACACCACAATAGTTGCTGTAGGGAGTATGTGGCACTGTGTATATGATGCATTTGAGATCTATAAACGTTAGCTGCTAAAGATATTTTTGTTTTACCCTTCTAAATACTTCTAAAATGAATTAACATAATCTCATGTTTTAGTAACATACCGAGTTGAATAGTGTCCTTCCAAAATGCATGTCCACCTGAAACCTGTGAGTGTGACTTTATTTGGAAGTAGTCTTTTCAGATGTACACAAGTTAAGATGAGATCATACTGGATTAGGACGCATCCTAATCCAATGACTGGTGTTCTTATAAAAGGAGGAAAATTTGGAGACAGGTACATAGGGGAGAAGGCCACATGAAGACAGAGGCAGAGATTGTGGCGATGCATCTATAAGCCACAGAATGTCAAGGAATACCAAAGATTGCTGGCGACCACCAGAAACTAGAAGAGGCAAGGAAGGATATTCCCATGGAGACTTCAGAGAGAGAGAGCACGGCCCTGCTGATACCTTCAGTTTGGACTTGTAGCCTCCAGAACTATAAAAGAATAAATTTCTCTCCCAGTTGTTGTGAGCCACCCACTTTGTACTGCATTGTTATGGCAGCCCTAGGAAACTAATCCTATAAGTAATCTGGGTATTCCAATCATAATTTTATTTTTCTTAGATGACTGAGAACCTGTTGCTTTCTGAAAATCATTATTCTGATAATAACTCTCATAACTTCAAACTTCTCTACTCTTCTCAAGCCTCCGAATTCACTCCCCACCTCCTTGCCCAGCCTTCCTCGGTCTCAGCAGAAGCCACATCCACTTCTCCACTCACACACACGAACTCACTGCATTCATTCCCCTCCTCTCCTGCTTCCTCCTGCACAGTAGGGCACAATTCTGCTCTCCTTCTCTAAGGCCGTTCCCTCCCTGTGCTTTGGATCCTACTCCTTCCACCTCTGAAGCATCCCTTCCCCTTCCTGGATATCCAAGTCCTCTCAACTAGATATTTACCAAGTGACACTGAAACATCCCTCTCATTTTAAAATATCCTCATGCCCTTCCCCGAGTTCCACCTTATGTCTTTCCTCCTCATAGTCCAACCTCCTGAGATGTTATCTGTACTCACTGTCTCCATTCCCTCACCTCCTACTCTTCACCCATTTCCATCTGGTGCTTGTCCTCATTAAGGCACCCAAACCACTCTTACCATGACTGACAGTGACCTTGTCTCCGCATCCGGCAAACTTTCTTTAATCATCTTACACACTCTCTCAGGAACATCTGACACAGTTTAGCACTCCTCGCTTCCTGACTCTCTCTTTCCCCTGGCCTTCCAGGCCTCCACATTTTTCTTGCTCTGGCCAGCTTTCCCACCATTCCTTCTCCGATGCTCAGGGTATATTTTTCTCTGTCAGGTCATTAAATGGTAGCCATGCTAAAGCCCCAATCCTAGGACCTCATCTTTTCCTCCTATATTCCTTCCTTAGGAGATAGTATTTTCACAACTGAGATAAATTTCTTTAGGCCATTTGCTCCTCAATTTACATCTCCAATCCAGACTTCCTAGAGCCCTAGACCCACACATCTAATTGCCTATTTGATGTCTGTTCTAGGCATCTTAAAGGCCTCTCAAATTTAACATGATCAAATTGTGTGGCCTTCTCCCACAAACCTAGGCCATCTCCAGCTTCCTCATTTTAGTAAGCCGTTCCATTACTCGTCCACTTCCTCTAGCATGAATCATTCCTGATGTCTCTTTCTGCCTCACCCTACATGTCCAATTCAGTGCGAAGTTCTGTTGATTTTATTTTCTCTCTCTCAAATCCGTCCACTTCTCTTAGTCATACCACACATCAACCTGGCCCAAGCCATTATTATCTTTCACTAGGACTTGTCTAGGAGTTTCTAAACTGGTTTAGCCTCTTATTTGTTCTATCCACATTCCCTCTGGCTTTCCCTCCCTTTTCCTGCATTTTATTCACTGCCAGCTGAGGATCTTTGCAGAAATGCAGTTTTGATTGTCCTGCCTCCTCCCCTTTAGTATCCCTAACAGACATCCCATTGCTCACAAAATAAAGCAAAACTCCTTCACAGGGCCTACACAGTCTGGCCTCTGCCTACCTCCCGTGGTTCTCAACCAAAGGTGATTTTGTTCCCCAGAGGATAATTGGCCATGTCTGGAGATATTTTTGTTTGTCACACTTGGGGAGAGATGCTGCTGGCATTTAGGGAGTAGAGACCAGGAATGCTGCTAAATATCCTAGAATGCACAGGACAGCCTCCTATAACAAAGAATTATTAAACTCAAAATGTCAATAGTAACAAAGTTGAGAAACTTTAGGCTAGTTTCATTTTGTATCGCTTTCCATCTGGATCACTGGGTCACAGACACTCATGTCTTCTTTTGGTTTCTTATGGGTCTATGCTCCCTTGGGCCACAGGTCCTTTGCACAGACTATTCTCTCTCCATGGAAAGATGTCCGACCCCATTTGCCTAGTTAAAACCTCTATATCTTCCAACTTCATCGCTTTCACAGGCAACTCCCCCTGTCCTCCCTGCAACACCAAGTTATCTCTCTTTTCAGGTACTTACTGAGGTTGCTGTTTTACATTTATTTGTGTGATTATCGACTAATATTTGTCTCACCCACTGAACTATAACACTTTGAGGATAAGGAACATGTCTATTTTTGCTCATCATTGCATCTTCAGTGTTTTACACAGGTCCTAACACCTAATAGGTGCTTAGAAAATATTTAAATGAAAGAATAGATGAATAAATGGTTTTTGATATTTTATGCATATAGATTTCTTTTAATCTATTATTTTATGATCCCTACCTGTACTTTTAATATATACCAGTCAGAAATACTGGGTTTTCCCTCATAGATTCTCATTTGTGTAAGTACAGTCAAATACATGCATTCTCAATGAGGGCGAAAAGTAATATTTGGGGGGGGCAAAAAAATCTTACTTTTTTAATGTATAAAGCACAGACACACATATTATACAGATATATGACTTATCTCTTATATTAACATTTCTTTGGAGAAGGACCATCAGGGGAAAAAATGTCTAAAAAGAATTCTTGTAGGAGGAGAAATAATGAAAAAAAAAAGGTTAGAAATATTGGCCTAGGTTTTTATATTATATATATTTTTAAATGGTAAAATATACATAATATTTACCACCTGAGCCACTTCTAGGTGTACAGTTTAGTGGCATTAAATATATTTACATCATTATGCAACCATCACCACCTTCCATCTCCAGAACTCTTTTCATCTTGCAAAAGTGAAGCTCTGTTACCCATTAAGCAGTAACTCCCCATTTCCACTTCCCCCAACTCCTGTTACCACCATTCTACTTACTGTCTCAATGAATTTGACTACTCTATATTCCACATATAAGTGGAAGCATACAGTATTTGTCCTTTTGTGACTGATTTATGTCACTTAGCATTATGTCCTCAAGGTTTATCTATTTTCCTTTCTTCTTAAGTTTGAATAATATTCTACTGTGTCTGTGTGTGATAATTGTCCATCCCTCAATGGACTCTTGGGTTGCTTCTAATATTTTAAATTATGGAACCAGCGTCTCCCAATATTTTATCCCCCATCTATTCCTTTTTATAATATAACATTTTTGCTAAGTTAAGTAATCAGTTGTTGGATAGAATCTATTGATCTATAAAATTTAAATGGTTATATCCTATTTCTCAATAGACCTGTCAACTGGTTTGTGTATGTTGCATTGGCTATTGCATAACTACAGGAACCTTCACAAACGGGGCAGACTATCAACTGCTTGGATGGTTAATCATCAGTATCAGAAAGATGGATGAGGGGCACTCTCTGGGTCTTTTCAGTTCCATGCTAATATAATTAGGTTTAATGCACTGTTATAAGTACACCAGATGATGACATACTTTATTTTCCTGAAGAGACTCTTCTTTAACGCATTACCCATTCAATTATAGGTTCTTAATTATTCAAATGGAAACTTAGAAGTTTTCTGATAAGCATGAGCATTTCTGAATAATAGCTATTGTTCATAATATTCCACTGAAAAAATATTTCATAGTTAAGCAAGTTGTTGTTTTTGGTTTACTTTGCTTTTTGCTATTCTTTAGGTATAACACTTTTTTTTTTTTTTTTTTTTTTTTTTTAATTAGGAGCTTCCTTTGGCTAGGAGTTCCAAAATGAAAGTATTGTTTCTTATAAAATGATAGGCACTGGTAAAAAACAGAAAATATGCTGAGAAATGACATGTCACATATGAAAACTAAACAGCTTGCTTAGACTTATAGACTAGTATGTTGGCTTCTGTTGGCATTTAGCTCCTATCAATTGTTATGCAAAATGAGAAAAGGGACAGCTTAATATGGCATGTTTTATCGACTTTACCAGAAAAGACTTTTCCCAAGTTCTTATACTGGGAAATTTTATAAGACTTTAAGGAAATGGCTACTATATTTTGTTCTGAAGCTGATGGAAATCAATAGTAGTGTCAAGATGCTGACTGTAATGCCATAATCTATTTAAATGGTCTTTTTTCCCACTATCCTCACCCCCACCTCTTTGTTCAAGCCCTTTATATAGACACACATATTCCTTCTCCTTTCCTCTTTCAGTTCCTGTCTTTGAAATATATGCTTTTGTCCAATGGAGATGAGCTTTGAAGACCACATGGCCAAATTACTTTATATTGGGTTTTGACTCAGTCATTATAATATTTATTTTTAATTTTAATTTCTTCCACAGCCATATGAAAAACTTTCCCTCTAATGTTTTTGTGGTCTGGATAATCGATTCTTCAATATTATGCTTAAAGGAGTGGCAGGAAGGGGAAAACAATAATTACCTGTTTGGGTAAGAAGTAATCTGATCTTTGGGATGATTCATACATTTTTAAATCTGTAATATAACTGACGCCCAAATAACTATTTGGGTACATTAACTATAGGGAAATTAGTGGCCCATCATTCATTTTTTTTCACCCTATTGGTTTCTGTCATCACTTATTAATATGAATTTTAGGTTTTGGCAATGTAGACAATATTTCTCTGACAAGCTTAACCTCTTTCTAAATCATTGCATTAATTTCAGATAACAATAGTCTTGTCTAAGAATTTCATCAAAATTTGTTAAATTAATGACTCAGTCTATTGGCTACAATCTTTCAAATATTTTAAAAATAAAGTTTTTAAAATCTTCTATTCTCTGCTTCACCTGCAGAATATAATATTACTATTGTAACTAACTGTTCTTCATTTGAACAACATGATATACTTGGCAGAGCACTTCTATGTACATTCTTTTTGTGATTTCATGATCATTTGGTTATGGACAGAGCCTTTCTTTTGTCCAAAAAACATTTATTAAATACCTAGTACATGAAAGATATATATCTGACTCTCTATAGCAGGTCCTCAAATGATGTAGTTTCGTTCAACGTTGTTTCGTTATGACGTTGATGAGATGCCATAGGAACTTAACTCTTGTCTATATCAATTAGCCTGTGGTAAATTGGTTTTATTATACTTTGTTTTGCTTAAAGTTGCAGAACCTATTGATGACGTTAAATGAGGACTTACTGTACTTCCTTTTGCCACTGACTATCTAGTAAGCATCTCAAGATTTTCCTCCGAACTAGTTGCATCAGCCGTAGACTACCTTCAGTCTATTCCCAATACAATGCATGAGTGTTAAAATGTAAGTCAAATCACATCACTCTTCTGCTCAAAACTTACCAAGAACTCCCCTTCTCACTCAAAGTTAAAGTCAAAGTCCTCACAATTTCCACAAGGCCCTGCATAACCGATTTTCCACCCCTCCAATCTCTCTAACCCCATTTCCTGCCAATTTTCCCCTCATTCACTCTAGCTGCTCTGAACTCCTTGTTGTTTCTGCAACAGCGCTAGACACAGTTCTACTTCAAGGCCTTTGCATTGGCCCTCCCCACTACCTGGTGCTATTCTCTCAGACAGTCACATGGTTTGCTTCCTAATTTCCTTCTAGTCTTACTCAAATAGTACTTTACTAAAATAGGCCTTCCCTGATCACACTACTTAACAGCTGCAACATCCCATCATTAACTTCCACCACTGTCTAGCCCCCTTTCTTCCCAAATTTTTTTCTGTAGCACCTATCACCATCTTTACTAGTCCACAAAGGCTAGGTTATTCTGTGAAAAACAACCCCAAAACTCAGTGGCCTACTGTTAAAATTAATTTCTTAGTCATGCATAGCTCACTGTAGACTAGTTGCTTTCTAGGCAGCTATCTTCCAGCAGTGACCTAGGGACCCAGGATGTTTCTATTTTGTGGCTTGATACAAGCCTTCCACTGGCCACAGCAGGGGAAGAGAGCTGGAGGGTCATAAACCAGTTCTTAAATGCTTTGGACTAAAAGTAACACATGTTACTTCTGCTCATAGTCCACTGGCCATAGCTCATTACTAGGCCCTACCCAGAGCTGTAAGGGGCTAGAAAATCTGGGGAAGCTTCAGTGCCAAGCCATTTGACATTATATATGTGTTACTTATTTATTTAATAAGTCTATTTCCACTAAACAGTCCTATAATTGTTTACTGCTATATCCCCTGTGCCTAGTATATTTATTGGTCAGAACATCTGTCGAATGAATGAATGAATGAATGGACAAATGACATGCTCACAGCTTGTGGGAGTAGGTAAGCCAACAATCTAGCATGGCTATAAACTGAGTGCTGTAATGGAGGTAGACAAGTCATGGGGAGAAGCACACAGCTTTGCACAGAAGGATGACAAGCAAGGGAATAAATGTGATTATATTTGGGCAAAGATGAGAATTTACACAGCAATGAGGAGAGCCATTTAAAATTCTCTGTTCTCCACCAGCTTTGGATTTAGTCCCTGTATTAAGGAGAGCCTAGCCAGCTCTTTTCTGAAGTCTCATCTCTTACCACTTTCTCACAACAGCCGCTGCTCCTAGTATGTCGAGTCCAGGCAAATCCTGAACATGCCATGGGATGTCAGGTCTCTGTGCCTGAAGAGACACGCTCAAAGTCAAACAACTAGGAAGAGCTGCCACGTGCCTAAATTAGACTCATAAAGTGGCGAAATGTTCATGATGGTTTGGTCATAGGTACTTTTCTTTCTTGGTATTGTCATCTAGTGAACACTTGTTAGTACTAGCCCAAGACTATCCTCATGGAATCAAACACTCCTGGCCCAGGGAAGGGGTCTCCATCTAGGGCTTTCTCTGATGTCAGCTCCCAGGGTTGCTAAGCCCAACAATTTTGCTCCCAGTAGCCTCGGCCCTGGGCCTAGTGAGATCAACCCAACGAATTAGCATCTGTGCCTTCCATCCCTTACACAGAGAGGATCACATAGTTAGGTCTGGACATTTTAGTTTAAAAGCTGACAAGGCCACACACATGGAGTGCCCCTAAATGACATGGTCCTATTAAAGACCCTGAAAGAAGGCCACTTCCTTGAGTTTTTCATGCTAAAGTAGTAGCTACTGGCAGCTTCTAAGGGTGCTGTTATTTCTATCATTTATGAGAGTATACAAAAGAAATATTGCATTACCCATAGGAAGCTCCTCCTACAACCATCGAGGCAGGATAGGATTTGTCTTCCCTCTTCTCCTTCATTTCTTACCTCTATCCCCATCTCTGACAAACAAACTGGGAGAGGGCTCATGGGGAAAAAAGATCTTTTTTAATCTATTAGCAAAGAACACACCACCGCTGTGATATGAGGTGGGCTCAATATTAGCAAGAGAAAGATGTGTTTGTTTTACAGGTATATTTGTTTCTAAAGTGTCTTAACCCTCCTCTCTAGCTCCACTGAGGAGCATATTAACTGTACTTGACTAACTACAAGTTAGAATCAAGGGAGTAAAGAGGAAGCCTGTGTATGGTGAGGGGATAGGAGGGAGGTACTCGTTAGAGAAGGAGACCAAAAAGAGAAGTCTCCTGGCTACTGAGTGAAGGTTGGACTCTAGGTGACTGGATAGGAAAAATAAAATGTTTTTCAATATCTAGAGCTGAACCGTTCAACGCAATAGCCTCTAACCACATATGGCTATTGAGTACTTGAAATGTGGCTTGTCTGAGTTGAGATGTGCTGTACATATAAGGTACGTAACAGATTTTGAAGACTTAGCACAAAAAAATGTATATTATCTCATCAATAATTTCTTTATGTTGATTACATGTTAAAATGATAATATTTTGGACACAGTGGGTTAAATAGATTATATTACTAAAATTAATTTTATTTATTAATTAATTTCTCATGTTTCTTTACATTTTTTAAAATGAGACTACTAGAAAATTTTAAATTCTACATGTGGCTTATGTTATATTTCTATTGGACAGAGCTACTCCAGACTCTATATTAATGACAGTGGATAGTAAGATTCGACACTCTTATTACAGACTACAAGCCTCAATCAGGGATTATGCATGCTTGTTTAGTAGTTAAATAGATTTAATTTTTCATGTTTGTCAAACTGGTATCTTTTAAGAAGAAAAAATTCATATTAAATTCTACCTTCAGGCATAAACTTTCTTGAGATTGAGATGAAAATATCTCAAGAGTGTCTACGATATTCCAAGAAAACGTAGGCATTTTCAATTTTACTCCCAAAGAAAGGGATTTAATATGAACTTTGTAGACTATATAACAAAACACTCAAGAAGTATTAAAAGCACCTTAGTTTTTTAATCTGTTTTTTTTTTTTTTTCCCCATTTAGGACTTAGGAAGCAGAAAAGAAGCAAAAAGGTACCCTTAGCAATGTCAAGGAGGGTCTTAAAAGCGCTTCTCTGGAAGGACATGTGATTGCCACGTGGGGATAACAGAAAGGGCCCCTCAGGCTCTGTTCACTAGAATGTCAACAAACCAGCAACTGAAAGGCCTTCCTTACTGTGGCCTCCAAGGAGGCTTTACAGTGCTCTGCCTGCATCCTGCTCTCAAGTGGATACTGCATTTTGTTGTGGTTAAAAAGCCACTTCCCTTTTCACCACAATTTTTTTTTAAGCCACTTCTCTAAGAAACTCCCACCTGTTATTCCATCATGTTAACCGATTCCAGGTGCTTGGAAGAAGGTGACTTGGGAGACAGGATAATCGAGGAAGAGGAAACTGTAGCAGAATACCTCACCTTGTGCTCAGCAGGTGTCCCATGGATGTAGTGGTGAGCTCCTACGCCTTGCAAGGTGCCCAAGCCTCCTTTTGCTATATTTACCCCAGAACTATCTTCTATGGTAGGGACCAGGCTCCCTGCAACTGAGGTAAGCCCTGAAGTGTTGATCGTCAGCGTTCGTTCAATGGATCTAAAGTAGTTCAGAATTCCTAAGCAGATGCGCTGAAATAAAGATAAAACAGGGTCAGGACCCTGCCTTTTGCTAGTCCCGCCCTGGAGTAAAACTTAATGGAGCCCTGGAGGTTGACAGGTCAACTTTACTGCTGAGAAAGATACACGCCACCCCCAGAAAGGCTTGATTTCATGAAAAAAATCAGAAAAAAGAACAAAGTGTAAAGTTACGTTGCTATTAAAATAGTAGGAAAGTCCCCGTCTGGGCAACCAACCAGTTCAGTTGCCTGAAACCAGCGTGCTGAACCATCCACGTACCTGCAACTCCCTGATTCGCAGGTGGCGCAGATACAGAAAGGACAAGTAGGTCCCTCTTATAAGGACAGGATCCCTGTCACTGGGCCCAGTGCCATCATTCAAACCCAGCAGCTGTAGGGCCATTGCATAGCTGTACCTTTAGCAGGCAGAAAAAAATAGAATAAATGCTTTCCATTTCAAAGTGGTTTGGAAAATTAATATGCACCAAATAGAAATCATTTTATTTAATTTAAGGGAGTTTCATAGTGGCTACTCTTTAAAAATACACTGAAGATAAAATAATTGCTCTCTCTATGTAAATATGAAAAGAAATCTCTCTTAGTAATTACTCTCATAAAAACACAGTCCTAAAGCGAAACATTAATTTAGTTGTCTAATGTGCTTTACCAAAGTCTTGTTTTTATTTCAGCTTCGAATACTTTTGAGTTAACATGTAACCTCCATATTAATCAGTCACTCAGTTTTCCCCACTGTTTAACCCATTTCCGTGAGTCACCAATAAAATCATTTAATTTTACCCTGTCTCTTTTTTCTGCTTGATGGGCTCCTCGGCACGTTGGCTGAGACTTATTTGTGCTAGGTCACTTTCACTTTGTTCCATGGAAAGGTCATCATCCTTCATATTTTCATTCTATCAAAAAAGCAGCATTAGTTGAATTACGTAAACATTTGTAGCGTTATTAACAAAATCACAATTGAGTCATCACAAAATTAAATCTCATGATCCAAGTCACATTTAGATGAACAAGTAGAAGAGTATCTCAATCCATTTCAACTTGACATAAAAATCTATTTCTAAAACAAATTAGGGGTCACTTTTTTACTATTACTTAGTCTTTGTTTATGAGGCTGTTCACAGCTTTTAAATATCAGCTGGTCCCTAGCAGCACCTCCCTTTCCCATGATCCATATAAACTTTCATGATTATAAAGAATTGATACACACATTTGTATGGAATTTTGAATCTCTAATCTGGTCTTGTTCCAGGCTGAGAGAGATCAGTGGATTAAACTTTTTTCTTCTTTTTAGCTATACGACTTAAGCACTTAAAGTCTCTATCCTGTTTTCACATTTGTAAGATAAGTTGCTGTGAGAAATAAATGATAGGATGTATATAAAGCTTAGTGAACGGCACTTCATAGGTGCTCAGTACACTCTAGCTCTCTCCTGGCCATGGACTGCATTAGTCAGTCAGCCCTGTAGGATCTACCAGAATTCATGGTTTTTTGCTTATTTCCACGGTCACCTTTCCTGATGTTGAGAAGGATGAGGTCATGTACCCAGGGTCCTAGAGAAAACTGGGAAGAAATCGATAGTGATGTACGGTCCTGCCCCTGACCCTCTGGGCAGCTCCTTTCTTAGCTGTTCTCTCCGCCTGTCCCTGGGCATGCCCCCATTCCCATAAGATGTGCTCTTTCATAGTGGTGCCAGTCCCCATAAGAACGCTGAGTGGCAATGGCTGAGAAGGGAACCTTCCTCTTTGGGTTACCAATATTCTAACAGCTGGTTCTTAGAGTCCCAACAATCACAGAAACTACTGGTTGTTCTTCATTTTCCTCTTTTCCCACAATAATTGAATATTTATCTTGGCACAACACCACCCAGATAAAGATGATATTTCCAGGCCTCTCTTGCATAGCTAGGTGTAGCTATGTGTCTAAGTTCTGACTGATGAAATGAAAGTGAAATACCATGTGGTGGCTTCTGAGAATTTCCCTGAAGTGGCAGCTTCCTTACCCTCATTTTCCATTTTGCTGCTTGGAACATGAATGTGACAAATGAAGCTGCTTCTCAGCCCAGAGCCGTACATGTGTTGCTCCAGGACAGAAGGGGCGTGGGTCTCTGAGGACTCCAGGAAGACAGAGAGAACTGTCCATCTCCTTTAATTCTCTGTTATTTTGTATTTAACTATGACCAACAGCCAAACCTAACCTTAACTAAGACAGTCCTCAAGACTCCAAAGATAGACTACTAGTCTTTATGATAGGCAGCGGGGAAGAAAATTTTGGATAAGGACATTAGGAAGAACAGGTGAGAGAGAGCATCGGGCATCATTTAGTGGCTTCCCATTCTGCCCATGGGTAGGGTTAGCTCCTGTCTGTCCTGGGTAAGTGTGTCCATCAGTGTATGTCTGTGTAAACGTCCCCCAACCCTGGGAATGCAAAAAAGACTCTAGGAGGTGACGTAGTGCGCTTCAGTTTCTTAATACAGAAATACAAGATCATTATCCCAAAATAAAAAGAATCTCTGTTATTTTTTTTTAAATCTGTGAGAAAGCGTATACTCCATGAAGAGAGTTAAATTTTGACAGTTTCTATTTGGCCCAGATTTTGGGTGAGAGGGGCTCTAAGGAAGCCTTTTGCCTCCCAGGCCGACGGGTCTCTTGCATTACAATTCAGGGGGCCAGCTCAGAGCCACAGCCTTTCTCTGATGGCACTGTGACTTTTTCAGCTGTTTCTAAAATTACTCAGAATTACATAGGAAGGAACAGAAAAGGACGCCAAGTTACAGTGAAAGACACTAGAAGGAATGACCAAACAAACCACAAAAATACAGCTGAATCAGTAGATCACCAGGAAGCAAGGAAGAGGGGCCAGCAAGTTAGGGTGAGTAAAGGGAGAGAGCGAGCCCAGCACCCTCCAGGAAAAGAGAACCAACCACAGCCCACAGAAGGAAACTGCTTAGGCACTGCCCTAAGAAACGGACTACACTGCAGATAAGCAACAGGGCTGACTAGAAACCAGGATGTCAGCACCATCTGTGGTCATCCTTTCCTGAAAGGGTAAATCCTTTGACATTTATTCTGCCTTGTGGCTGGGTCTTTGCCAGCATGGCCTAGTTTATGTATTTTGACAGTTCTGAGATTTCCACCAATTTTAAATCTCATTTTCTTCTGGGAAATTGGCAAAGGCACTGGAGTGGGAGGTAGGGTGGGGAAAATAACTAGAGGAAAAGTAAGTCTATTATTTATTTCCCACCCCTGAAAGTCTCTATGGCTTACTGTGTCTATCCACAGAATAAAAAGACTGGAAGGATATATATGGAATGTTAGCAATACTGTTATTATATTTAAGTGGTAAAAATCTGGGTGGTTTTAATTTTCTTTCTTAAACTTTTCTATATTTCCCAATTTTTCTGTGATAAATACATGGCACTATGTCATCAGAAAATGATTGTTTTTAAACACATTCTATTAAATTTGATGAGAGAGACCAGGAAAGGTGTTTTATGTTTCCCTGAACTTCTTGCACATTGGAGCTACTACATACAGCATCACTTTTGCAAGAGCACACCAGGTACTCATTACATGGCCTTCTCACTGGAAACAGAGGGGAGTATAACACAGATGGGTGAAAATAGCTCTTCCTGTCTTCTCTCCTTCGTGTGGCCAGTAAGGAAAAGCAAAAGAAGAGCCAAAGGATGTAGTTATTTTTTGCCACTTCACTGCTCCATAAAGTTAAATAAAAGTGACCAATTTAAACCATATCTGTAGAAATACAATGGTCAATAGCAGTATTTAATATTTGTTCATAGACATTTTAATAAATAGGTGTTTCTTGGGGAATGACATTGGACACAAGAAACTTGAATTACAGGTTTGGAAGGACCCACGCAGGGCTTCTTCTGGTTAGAACTACAGTTAAATTATTTTAAAGTTTTTTTAAAAAAAAAAACATTTTAAAAATGCAGTTCCTTTCGACCAGAATTATCTCTAATTACAAATTATCATCATTCAACAATTATACAAAAATACAGTATTTCTTCTTTATCATCCAAACCCAGATCTTTAAGTGAATCTGGAATTAGAACTGTAGAAAGAAGAATGGCCGGCCTTTGATGTTAATGGCAAGTAATGACCAATTCGAACTGTTATAGCAACATTACATACACTATCAGTGTTTAGACAAACATATTCAATGTTAAAATGGATATGGGAAAACAGGTTTTCTCATAAGTTGTTGGTCGTAGGGGGGAGAGGAAATGGTATACTACTTTGATTGGATCTGTGAAAATTTTTGAATGTGCACATTCTATGATACAGAAAATCCACTTCTAAATATCTGCTCTAAACAAACACACATATGTACAAGAAGGCATGCACAAGAAAGTTCGGTAGTTATGGTTTCTCATATCAGGAGAATGGCAACAAATATCCACTGGGGTCTGGCTGTGTGAGCCGAAGTATAGAATAAAACATAATACAGCCATTAAAGAGAGCAGCAGAGACAGATTTCTAAGACGTATTGCTGGGTGAAAAAAAGCAAGTTGCAAAAAGATATCCATAGGATATGACAGATTGTTTATATAGAAAACTAAAACACAAAATCATACTATATAAATGTATTTTATGGGGACATATGTATGATATAAATGCATTGAAAAGTCTTGAAGGAATAACAACAGTGTTTGCCTCTCATGAAGCAGAATGAGGACCAACATCAGAGTTCCCATTAGTTAAAGTTAAACATTAACTTTTCAGTGATGTTTCCATTTTTTTTTTACAAGGAGATGTTTATTTGACATTTGCTTATTACTTCTGTATTTTAAAATTAATTTTTTAACACTTCTAGAGAAAATTGCTAACTTTGCAGTGGAGAAGCCTGGCAACCACGTGATCAAAATTAACATCCCCTGTGATAGTTCATGTTGGTAGCATTTGCCCCTAATATGATGTGACAAGAAGTGCACTTCACCTCTGGGGTATTTTTCTTCCAAACCTATAACCCCAGTATAATCCTGAGGAAAACATCAGACAAACTCAAATTAGGGAATGTTCTGCAGGCTGCCTGGCCAGTACACCTAAAGCTGTCAAGGTCATGATAAACAAGGAAAGACTGAGAAACTGGCTCAGAACCTGAGGAAATTGGGGAAACATGGTGATTAAAAGCAATGTGGTACCCCGGAGAGGACCCTAGAGCACATAGAGGATATTAATGGAAAAAACAGTGAATTTCAAATAAATTTTAGATTAGTTAACAGTAATGTACTGATGTTGGTTTCTTAGGTGTGACAGTTGTACCATACTTAGTAATAAATATGTTAGTAATATAAACTAGGTAAGGGATACCTGGGAACTCTTCGTATTATCGTTGCCACTTTTCTGTAAATCTAAAACTATTCTGAAATAAATCATTTATTTCAAAAATAAACTCCCTAAAGAAAGGTTAGTTGTGAACAGTATTCACTGAGGATTATTCAGAAACTGTTCAGAAGTTGCACTATCATTAGTGCTTTTATTCTTTCAAATAGGACATAGGACTGCCAAAATGAACGGTCTCATGAGATTTGCTTTTCCTTCATGCAGAAGACCCTGAAGAAAGCTATTTTTCATGGAGTATTGTTTGTCACTTGCCAACTTCAGAATCAGGATGCTCACTAGTATACAGATGCTAAAATTCATACTTGACTGCTATGTGCTTGCAAAATAGTGAAAGAGCTTTAAAAATCATACCCACATTCCTTTGACTCCTCCCAGCTGCCATCTTTTACTTAATCCTAATATCATCTGATTTGTATTCAACATTCAGAATGGCCACATGCTACCACTGGTGCTCTGATACTGAATAAAGTGACTCTTGACCAAAGCAGAAGAAATACTTGAGGAGATCACAAAATAACACCCACAGGAAAATATGAAGGAAAGTGGAAAATTATTGGTTATTGCATCCTAATTTCCTTTCTTTTACCCTGTGCTATTTTCTGTTCCCTGCTTGGAAAGCTCTTCTCTAGCCCTTTTGCATGGCTAACTCCTCATTCATCAAATTTCAGTCCAGATGCTCCTGACTTTGAAAGATCTTGCCCAATTTCTCTATCAATGGGTGCTCTTCTCTACCCCATTGTCTTCCACTCTTGTGGTTTTCTTCATAGCACCCACAAGTTAGAGATGAGATTTACTTCTTTGTTCACTTATTTACTATTTGTTTCACTTCCTGAGCCCAGTACAATACCTGACACAAAGAAAGAATTATGTAATAAGCACTGAATGAATGGGAAACTGGAATACTTGCATGACCCTGATATACAGGGTATTTTGTGTGTGTGTGTGTGTGTGTGTGTGTGTGTGTGTGTGTGTGTGTGTGTGTGTGTGTGTATTTGTCTAACCTCATGCTCCACCTCTAGAATCTACAGGTATTCTAAGTCTCTTAGGGTCTATTTACCATGAATCAACTTGAAAGTACAGTGCTCACATTTTTCTCTCTTTGGTCAATTCCAAGAACAACATTTACAAGTCAGTAAATACCCAGAGGAAGTGGTTTTCTTCCTTTTTCTTTCCTTCTTTCTTTTTCTTTTTTCTTTTTCCTTTTTAACGTTTGGACAACTGTAATCAAAACAGACTTTGGTGAAAGCATAGGCTGCATTTTATCAGTACCCTGACTTTCCACCTCCTGGGTAGATGGAGGGAAGCAGTAATGGAACAAGAAGAGTTTGTTCTCTACTGTGCGGCTGGGCTTCTCACACTTTTGCTCTTAGTGCTTTCTTCCTCTCAATACTTACCTGAGCTATCATCTCCTGTTCTCACTATGCATCTTCTGCTTTTCACTGCCACAGTGGTCCCACAGAGGTAACCTCCTTTGTCCCCTAAGTACCCCTGGGCATTGCTACCAGTCTATCTCCTGCTGGCCCTGCTATACTCTGGGCCTCATCATTTCTCCATGATTTTAAACATGGAACTCTTCATCTCTGATTCCATCTTCCTTTGCCTCCTACCTCTCCCTCACTCATATTCACCACCTTTCACCCCCATCTAGCTCCCAAAAGTTTAATTTCTCCTATTCTCTCAGCCAAGGAAGAAAACAGATTTGTGGTGATGGCCCTCAGATGTTAATACCAGAGCTGCACAGGTAAAGGGAGATTATATCAGCATCAAGAGATAGACTGTCCAGGATCCTAGGAAGAGAGGTCTCGCTCAGAGACACCTGGGCTGACTCTGCCTTTGCTGCCCTCCCTTATCCCCTACTCCCAACCTTCTTTTCCCTAAGTCTGGGTCAAGAAGCACCAGAGCCAGATGTTTTTAAATGTTTCCTTGTTATTATAAGGTCTTCCTGAATGGCGACATATACGTTAGTGTAAAATGGCAATGGGAAAGGAAAAATCTGGCTATTTTCTCAACTCTGGCAGAATGCTAGCTAAGGAGAGACTGTCACTGGTAGTTGCATGCTGTGTTGGGAGATTCAGGGGCCAGGGAGACCTATACTATGATATGTTGCATCTGTTCCTGATATATGTGGCCAACTCTTTTTTCATTAGATTCTCTAGATTCTCATCTAAACAGATTGAAAAGTTATAGAAGTTGTGGTGTGTGTAGTGTGTGTGCGCGCATGCGTATCTGTGCATGTGTGTTTGCTTCCAGTCAATCTGTAACTCATTAAACCCTTTTCAGGTTTCTCTTTCCTCATGTATAGCCTGGGACGATGGATCATTCCAGTGCTTATCTCTCTAGCATTCTACTAAACTTCCCCACACCTTCAACTTTATGTATAAGTTTTAGTTATTCTACAATTATCTTTAAGGATGAAAGTCATGTAAGGAGGAGGCAAGAGAATTAAACATGTTAATCAAGCCACATTCAGAGACTGCAATATGCTGATCAGCCCTGCAGCCAGGCCAGGAGGACACCTTCAGAACAAAGGATGATTTCTGCTGGGATTGCTAACAACCCATTCCCCACACCCGTGAAGGGGAAACAGGAAAAACAAGAGTCTTTAAGTAGCTGCCCTACACAAAATATGGCTAAAATCCCTATGGCTAAAATCATGGGGAACCTATGGATTAAAGGCTGAGAGCTGCCAGCAGGCCTTTCACTCTGCATATTCTTACCTTTTCATGCTAAATACTCTTCTTCCCCTTCCTCACTGTATGCCCATATCAAAGGAAATGGGTTAACGAAGTCTTTTAAACTATAACTCACAGGAACTAAAGAATGATATATAAACTGAATTCCCCAGAGCACTCGGGGGTCCCTCTCCCTGTTCCTCTCACTGTCTTTCTCTTGGTACTCTTTAGTCTGTCTCTCTCACTGTCCTCGTCTTGCTTAGTCCCTCTCACTCTCTGCCTCTGAGAAGAGACCATACCCTGTGGAGTGTTATCCCCTTTCTAATAAACTTTCCTTTGACTCTGACTTTAGCGTGTGTGTTGAGTTCTTTCCACACTCTTTGCCAAAGGACCTTCTTTTTTCTCTCAGTGCAAGGCTTGGTCTCCCCCCCGCTCTGGGAAATTTGCCCTGTTCTGCATCAAAAGTAATAGAATTATTACATAGAATGGGCTTGCTGCACATCCATGCCCTCTTACTTCATGGCCATCCTTATATTCTTGTCTTTTGGGGGGCCTTCCCCACAGTGATATCTCTTCACATGCCAGGCTCACCTTCTGCCTCACTAATGCAGACTTCCTCCTCCTCTTCTCTCTCTCTCTGAGACGGCCAGGCCATCTACAAGCTCTTGCATCTTATCGTTTTGCACCTGAAAATTCTGTGTGTCTGTTTCACTTCAAGGGAAGTGATACCATTATCCCCTTTTCAAATTATTCTTCAACCTATTTTTTCACCCCATCTCCTCCCCTTTCCCCAGGGTCACCTGTTTCTCAAATTTACTCTTTTGTATCGTTCATCTCTTCTTCTCCACTGCTCCTTCCTCTCAGACTATAAACAAACACATTGAGTCTGTCCATCTTAAATAAGCAAATGAAACAAAATGCTTCTCTGTAATAGCAGATTATAACTTCCAAAACGTTATGGTACCATCGTAAAGACAAATATCCACTAGCTTTGTGTAGAAACTTCTTTTCATTGCCAAATTTCATGTCTAGCCTAGGTAGCAGCTACCTAACTTGCTTCCCTGCTTCCAATTTCTCCCTCTTTCAATCCAACTAATACCCTGCTGCCACATTATCTTCCTAAAAAATACAGCTTTGTATATATCACTGTCTTACAGGATAAGGCACAAATTCCTTAGTCTGGAATTTATGGGCATTCACAACCTGCTGCCTCCTCTGCCTTAAGAAAACTTCTCTTTACTACATTTCCACATGAGTCTTCCATTCAACCAAACTGGACTTGACACTCCATGAGCAGTCTATCCTCTGCACTGTTGTTCATGCTTCCCTTTTAGAATGTGCTCCCTACTTTCCTCTCCACCACCACCGCTCTAAGCCCTACGCTTCCTTCAAGCCCAGCTCAATTTCTTCCTTGTTCAAGAGGTTTTTTTTTTATCAATAGAACTAACCCCATGGGGACCATTTTCTATGTAAACACTCACAATATTTAACAACTGTCCGGCTTATTTGGTGTTTAGCACTATGATGTATAGCTTTGCACTGGTATTTATTGGTTGATCGTATGTCCTGGCAGCAACAACATCTTATAGTATACCTCTTTACATCCCTCTTTCAAATTAGCAATTAATCTTTTTTTATACTGAAAACAAATGTGGTTAGGTAATAGAGCTTTTGGGGGAAAAGGTCTCTAAAAAACTACCAAAGTAAATTTCTAAGGTGGTGAGTTGAATAGAAAGGCATATTGGTTCTTTCTTCCTGTGGTACCTGGTAGAGGTTGATGTTGCTATAAATATTTTCCCAGATTTGGACATAGTTGCACTGATGCAAACTCTGGGAAGCCACGAAAGTTGCATGAGATGGAGCCGGCGTGACTGTCTTTGCAGCATGGTCTTGGAGCACTTGCATTACTCGCTCAGGGTTGCAAATCTTCAGTAGAACAGAGAAGAGAAGGAATGGTTGGGAGAAAGGTTATTGCCTTTGAATTTAGTCATGTACATGTGAATAAGAAAGAAGTCTCAGATGAGACCTTAATCAATTAAAAAATAAAATTTAAATTATGATCCCCTTAGGTATGTTCATCCGTTCAACACTGTTAAGTATTCAAATAGATGCAACCGTTCATTTAAAATTCTTCGACAGCCCCCCAAACACAACAGCAGGTGGGGCCTCCACAGGTGTTGTGGCAAAAAAAAAAACAAACCACCCATCAATTTTGGGTACAAACTCTGTCCCAGGAGATGGAGTAGAAGGAGCTGGGTAATGTGAAGAAAGCACGGGCTTAGTAAGGACACAGACTCGGACTTGTCTCCTTGCTGGAATCCTGACTTTTCCACGCAGAACAGGACAGGTCAATCTAACAATGCTACTAATGATGTCTCTCGGGATGGCTGTGAGAATGTCTGACATATAGCAGGTGCTGAATAAAGGCTTCTTCTCCTTTCTAGAGGTGAAGAGTTGAATAATAGTCCCGGAGCTTAACTTCTACTTATTACTATATTTCAATTATTTTCATATCACAAGGAACCTCAAAGATAATTTAGTCTGATCCCTATCAAAATCCTAATGGCATTTTTTGCAGAAGTAGAGAAATTTATTCTAAAATTCATATGGAATCTCAAAGGACCCCAAATAGCCAAAATAATTTTGAAAAGAAGAAAAAGTTGGATAACTCACACTTCCTGATTTCAAAACATATTACAAAGCTACAATAGTCAAAATGGTATGGTACTACCATAAATTAGACATATAGACCAGTGGAATAGAATAGAGAGCCTAGAAATAAACCCTTGAGTATATGGTAAAATAATCATAAACAAGGATGTCAAGACCACTCACTGCAGAAGAGACAGTCTCTTCAACAAATGGTTCTGGGAAAACTGGATATCCACATGTCAAACAATGAAGCTGGACCCTTATCTTACTATGTAATTCCACTTACATGAGATATCTAAGGGCAATTAAATTTAGAAACAGAAAGCAGAATGATGGTTGCTAGCGGATATAGGCAGGAGGAAATCAGGAATTGATATTTAATAGGTGTAGAGTTTCAGTTTTTTAAGATGAAAAAGTTCTGAGGTCTGTTTTATAACAACGTGAATATACTGAACACTACTGAACTATATACACTTAAAAATGGTTGAGATGACAAATTTTATGCTATGTGTGTTTTACCACAATAAAAATAAGATAATTTAGTCTAACATTTTTGTTTCACAGATGAAGAAACTAAAACTCAGGGAAGTTAAGTGACGAGGCCAATATCGCAAAGAAACAGTGCTAAAACTGGACTGAAATCCAACTCTTGACAATTGTTACTCTCTACTGAAAGCTAACAGGATTATAAAAGTTTGGCAATTAGATTAGAAAGTTCCAAATAAACCCTTCAAAGTGAATTCATGGCTAACATTTTTTAGAAGAGAAAGGAAATTCAACTTTCTGAGGGCGATGTTAGCAAGAATTTTATCTGCACGGCAATATGGTTACTTTCTTACCTTCAGAAACTTTGCTTGGAGTTGCATTAATACATCTATTCTTCTTCGTTCTTTTAGTTTAGTCAAAAGCTTCTTTTGCCAAGGATCACATTTTGGCTTAATCTAGAGGACAAACATGCACACACAAAGTTACAACATATCAGAATGGTTCTCAGTAAAAGTTGCAAGCAAAGAGATCCAAGGACTTTCGAAAATGGCATCCGGCCTCCGCACTAGAAAGTTAGCTAGAGCATGTGAAGTGTTGAAAAGGGTCTGTGGGGGTTCAAAGATCTGTGGAGGGAGATGGCAGCATCAGGTCCTGTTGGTGCAGTATCTTCATCTGGGATGACACAGCATGGCCCATAAGCAGGAAGGACCCTACATCCATCAATGTTGTGCCCTGCATTTGATTTATGGTGGAACAAGAGAAGTTTGCCCACAGACTTGTGACTCCACGTGTAAAACTTCACTTTTCACATTAACAAGCTATATTTCAAAACTTAGTTCCATGGCTAAATAAATACATCAGTATACTGATAACTCTCTAAATTTATATCTAGTGCTAAGCGCCAGCCTGTTATATCCAACTATCTCCTCGACACTTAGAATACAAGTGTAACAGTCTAAAACAGAAAGTCTGGCTTCCCCTACACCACCACCTATTTGCTTAAGCCCCAGAATTAGGAGTAATGATTTCTCTCCTTTCTTTCGTCTGTAAGACTTTTCTTTCCTTCATAAAACAGTTGAACCTCAGCACTCATGGATTTTGTATTTGCAAACTTGCCTACTCACTACAATTTATTTGTAACCTCAAAATCCCTACCAGCAGAGCTTTCCTGGTCATTCATGGACATGCACAGAATGGTGAAAAATTTGAGTCGCCCAACTCCACATTCCCCGCTGAGGTCAAACCAGGTGACACTCTGCCTTCTTATTTCAGTTCTTATACCATAAACAAGGGTCCTTTTCGTGGCTTACTTAGTGCCCCATTTTTATACTTTCCTGCTTTTTGTTGGTGATTTCACAGTTTAAAAGGCCCCCAAGCATAGTGCTGAAGTGCTGCCTCACACTCCTAAGTACAGGAAGGCTGTGATGTGTTTTATAGAAGAAAGACATGTTTTGATAAGCTTCCTTCAAGAGTGAGTTATAGTGCCGTTGGCCACAAGTTCAATGTTAATGAATCAACAGCACATATTAAATAGTGTCTTTAAACAGAAACCCACATAAAACAAGGTTATGTATTGATTAGTTGACAAACCTCACCCTGTATTTTTCTTGTGAGCAATCATTTGGTATTTGTTAATTCAATATTCATGGTAACTTTGTAGAATATAACTACCCCCAGATAATGAGAAGCAAATACACTTACCACTACTAAAATAATCTCATTTAATCTGCTTACGTGTTTATTGTTTGTGAATTGTGCACCTCTGGCACCAAGGGCCACGCCTGACACACAGTATGTGTCCAATAAATAGTTTTTGACCAAAAAGTTGGATTTACACAACTCAGTTTTACCTTCGAGCAGTTATTCTTTGTTTTTGGCAAGCAGCCAAGATCACTAACAACAGGAAGGAGTTCTGACCCAATAGAGAGGATACAAGAGGGTGGAGGTCTTCCGCAGATGACACACGAGGCCATGTTCTCTGAGCTGCCTCTCCTGCGGATAAGACACTTACCCTTTGTCTTAGGGGACAGTAAGACGAGGGAATGAAGAGAGGGGACAACAGGGACCTGACAGACTTGGTGCTGCCAGGTTGCCTGGCTGCTTGGAGGATACTTTGTGACACTGCTGACATCACTGAGAGTCGCCGTAGGCACAGGTCTTCTCACCTTTATAAAGGGAATCCAGTTGGCTCTCTTTTTCAAGGCCACACCAGGTCCTGCCAAGCCAAAATTCTCTACTTTAGCTTTCCCAGTATCATAGTCTGGAAATGTTTGCATTCTCTGTTGCTCCATGAAGATGCTTTGGAATTTTTGGGAAACCTAAACAGGATTAAGAAGAGAAAAGCAGAGACCAGGAGAAAAGTCTCAGATTGTAGGTCATTTCAAAAACAGCTACTGATCACATTGGAAACAGTCTTGGCGTCAAACTAATTCATAAAACATGACTCTGTGACAGCAACACGACCTTAAATAGATGTACTTGTGAGGCACACGTTTTCAGTCAACTCATTACTGTAACTGTGTCTGTAACTTGTTCCAAAGATTGGAAATCATGTGTTATATTTATATGTATTTTGAGCCATGCCCTAAATGGGAAGTAAATTGTTCACCTTTGGAAATACATGCACTTTTCCTGGTCACCTGGTAAACTAGAAAAATCTAAGGTTATATAAACCTGCTCCCAGAAGCCTGACCAGGATGATGCTAGAGAAAAGGGCCCAGATACTATGACCTGTTAAAATTCTTAAGGTACCTCAGCCAATCCCTTCACAACTCACTTTCAGACTGAGGCTACCAGCGCTTTCTGTGACATAACTTCTGACTGTCAAAATGCAGAATACTTCTTCTTCCCTTCTCCAGGGTGGGCCCAGGCCTACTGAGCCTGTGGTAGTGCCTTATTGCATCATGGCCACACCACGTCCTGATTTTCTCACTACATGATAAGCTTCTTGAGGGCATGGACTATGACTCTCAAGAGCCTACCACATGGTGATGGTTGTACAAAAATGTGAATGTGCTTGATGCCACTGAGCTGTACACTTAGAAACAGTTGAAATACTACATTATGTACATTCTCTCTCTCTCTCTCTCTCCACAAATTCAAAATAAATATATACACCCCATGTTCATGCATCATTATTTACAATCGCCAGCATAGGGAAACAACCTAAGTGTCCATCGGTGGATAAATGGATAAAAAACTTGTGATATACAACACGCACTCTCTCTCTCTCACACACACACACACACACACACACAGAACGTACCACAGTACTGACACATATTAAGGCCTTGACAAAGGTTTCTGGAATAAGAGAGCAAGTTCAATGAGTCACGAAGCTCAAGATTCTTCCAGTTAATGCTGGTATCTCTCAGGCTGTACTGTCCAATACTGTTGCTCCTAGCCATGTGTGGCTGTTTAACATTTAAGTGTAAATTCATTAAAATTAAATACAAATTAAAATTTAGTTCCTCAGTTGCACTACCTATAATTCAAGTACTCAATAGCCACATGTGACTAGTGGTTAACATATTGGACAGAGCAGATACAGATCATATCCATCAGTGCAGGAAGTTCAATGAGACAGTGCTAGACTAGGGCTGGGGGTGGCAAACTTTTTCTTAATGGGCCAGATAGTAAATAGTTTAGCCATTGCAAGACTATTGCAACTACTCATCTCTGTTTTGTAGTGTGAAAGCAGCCATAGACAACACATAAATGAATAGGCATGGCTGTATTCCAATGAAACTTTATTTTAAAAATGCAGGTGGTGGCTGCAAGGTTTGCCAATCCTGCTCTAGGGCATTGGACAGAATAAACAGTACTCCAGTACAGGAACTCTGTACACAAAGAAATTGTTGTGATGTGATTATCTCAGGAGCACAGTTAGTATTGTACCCAACACTGTTATAAGGAAATCAAAAGTGGAAACTGTCAGTCTATGAAGGAGACGAGCTATTCTTTGAGAACAAGGCTGCTTTGTGGGAATACTCAGCAGCCTCATGTTCTCCTGTTATCACTGATGATAGCCTACTGTGCTAGAATTTATTTTTATTTATTTTTACCCTTTATACACAACCTCTTTTTACAATTCTGGTTTTTGTCTATCATAATACTTGGTGAGAATGAGAATGCTGAAGATTGTGTTGATGAAGAAGTTGTGAAAAGAAAGGCAAAAGCTAAATATCATCACCTTCAGAAGAACCAGAAGACATATGATACCACTGGTTAAAGAGTCTGTGTTACATACTAACAGAAATAATCCCAGTAAAATAATGCTGGAACAAATACAAATGGAAGTGCCACTTCGAGGTCAAGGCAAATGGCAATAGAGGAGACAGTGGCTTCTTACATGAAGAACATTCAAAAACATTCAGATTTGATTTTTGCCTGTTTGAATCAATCAACTTATTATTTTTATCTAGCAGATATATATGCTTTCAGATATTATACACCTAGAGCTCGAAAAAAGATATCTTTATTGTTGAAACTCTGGCCGAAAACTTTATTATTATATATTTGAAGCTCTTTCTATATAATCCTATTTTTCTCTTTGAAACAGATTTTAACATAGCTCCTGATGATGAGGGTTTTTTGTATTTTTTGTTTTGTTTTGTTTTAAGAAAGTGCAACACTGTTATATCAGAGCAGACTGTGAGACTTTAAAAATCACTACACAATATATACTCTATTGAATATAAAGCATTTGCCAACAGGGGAATTGTTGCTATGCATTCTGAGAATTGAAGGGCTTTAGACACTAGGTAACTCCACCACGGAAATTTGCCAAATCTTGGCTATGTTTACATCCTCTACTATGGACTATCACCTACCTTTTTCTTTAAATTCTGCAGAAAATTAAACCTACAAGCCCTCTGGATTGGATATTCGAAGGTGCCATTACTCTTACAGAGAGGAAGTTCAACTGCTAATCTAAATCTCCTCTATTACTATTATATTTTATCACTCTAGAAACAATTGTGGCAGTATAAAAATACAACTTTGTGGCAAATACTAGTGTTTTCTTTCACGAACATCTATATTTGTATTAAGAAAGAGTCCATCAAGTACCAGGGAAAAAAGTTCTATTTCCTTGGCCGCATCCCTTAGCTCCTCCACGTCATATTGGATATTGTAATGGGAAAGCAGGAGCCTCAGCTGAGGTTTCAGTTCTTCTGTTTCTGTTGTGTGTTGGGGCAGGATGAAGGCAGCTTTTGTTCTTGTCATCCCTGAGAAAAATCCAAAATCAAAAGCATTAAGACCAGTGAACATCGGTCAGGAAGAGAAATGGGGGAGTCCTTGGAGGGAGGGAGGCCTCTTCTGCTGATGGGGAGGGCCATTCTGCTCCTTGCCCAACCGTCTCTGCCACACTTTACAGACTGCACCACACTCGGTCAGGCCTATCTGACAAACTCTTGGTGTTGGCTTTTTAGGGGGAGGTAGCCAGGATGCCCTACTCCTGTTTTCACAGCCTATAAGAGAAACAGAACAGACCCTTTAGGGACTGGTTTAGCAGGAGCAGAACTACTATGGTCCTTTGTGATAAACGAAGAATATGATTCATAAATTAATCAACAAATTAGAAGAAGGTGAGAGCCTTCACCTCCTTCCACCTGGCTCACTCCTACTTATCTCTAAGTACCAAGTTTGGACTCTCCTCCTTTAAGAGGCCTTCTTTGATTCTTCACAACAGGGTTGGCTGCCTCTCTAGGCACACCAGGTACATACTGCAAGCAAATATGTCACTCAGAGTAGAAACCTGATCAGGTTTCTTAGTCATCTATAACGTAAGGTTAGGATAGGAAGACTATTAAATTGATTCAGATAAGAATAGTCTTTTAAAATCATGTAATATTAAAAATGGAGGAAATTTTAGAAATTACTTAATTTGAAAGGTTTATTTTAGAGTTGAGTAAATTGAGAGCCAAGGAAATGAAATGACCCAAACTTGCAGGCCCATAGTAAGGCCACAACAGAAACAGGTCTAGAGCTCAGTACTGCCGACTTCAAGTTCATTGCTTTTCTCTTTCTCTCTTAATTTGCTAGTTATAAGGATAGAGGGAATAATGTCCAAGAGAACTGTTTGTTATTTTTTCCATCAGAAAATATCAAACTAGGATGTGGTTCCATGGCGTAGCAGTTAGCACGTCTGCTTTACACGCAGTAGGTCTTGGGTTCATTCCCCAGTGGAGCCACGGTCCATGGTCTATGACCATGCCACCCTGAACAAGCCTGATGTCTGATCTCGGAAGCTAAGCAAGGTTGGGCCTGGTTAGTACTTGGATGAGAGACCACCTAGGAAGACCAGGTGCTGTAGGCATAAATAGTAATAAATAATAAAACAAATAAATAAATAAATAAAAATAAGAAAATATCAAACTAAATTTAAAAAAGAAAATATCAAATTAACACTTATTTATTAATAAAATGTAACTTTTTGGTACATAGAAACATTTCCAGTAAGATCAAGTGATATAATAGCACATGTGCAAAATCACGATCTCCTTTTCTCCACATTACCCTAGGGGAAAGAAGACTAATTTCTTACCTGAAATACTGGTATTCGCAGTGCCTGGAGATGCAGAACCCTGCAGGTCAGGATTGATGTCACTGACATGGACCTGTTCACTTTCCTGACCAATCTCGGGGACTTCGTCGACTGCTACACTCAGCACGTTGGAGATGGGCAAATACTGGAGGGCCTACGGAAGGGTACAACCAGAAGGCTATGTAACAACTTAATTCTCAAGGATGCTTTCAGATTTTAGTTCAGGAGTAGCCCTTTGCTTTGATAGAGAAGGAAGGAGGTAGAAGTGGGCCTCAGCAACCTGCCCAGCTGTGAGAGGCAAATTTTGGAGCTGGGCGACCTGGTGTGCTCACCAACTCTAAGCGACCTAAAACTCTGGGCAGGTCTACATGGATCAAGCACCCATAATGTGCTTGATCCATGGCACTGTGACAGGCATACAAAGATGAATAAGATGTGGACCGACCTCAAAGAGTTCACAGTTTAGTTGGGGACCCAGATTCATGAGCAGGTCATTATTGTGCCACATGACTGAGGAAAGATGATTCACAGGTAGACCACAGTGACTGTTAAGGAAGGGATGACGTCAGGGCGATAACCAGTTTTCTGGTTTGGATAACTCTGTGGTTAGTGATATCACTTGGATAAGGCGTAGAGGAGTTGGAAAAGATTTAAGTGGCTAAACAATCTTTCTAAAATGAAAATGTGATCATGTCACACCTTTCTGATGCCTCTAGGCTGGGTCGGGGCCTCTCCTCTGTGACTCTCTTTACCCTGTGCTTATACTTACTCTGTTCTTTCTTATCACATTGTATTTCAGTTAGCTATTTACTTACCAGATTTTCCCACCATCCTGGGACCCAGTTACTTTTCAGTAAAGACTATATCTTCCCTACATGGCCCAGGACATGTACCTGGCAGATATTAGACCCACATTAGATACTGCCAAATAAAAAAGTAGAACTACATTGGAAAGCATAAATCCTGAATGAGATGATGGGAACGAAAACTTATAGAGTAAATATGAAATAGTACAACAGAGACATCTTTGAAAAAGCTAAATTAATGGAGTGATTTCATTAGAGCAAGTTTCCAAAAGAAAAGATTTCAAAAGTTGCAAAGAACAAAGCTAGTGACCCATTTTTTTCCAGTCATTTGAAGGACGAGCGGAATACAGGAACTGACAATCCAAAACTAGGTGACAAGTGTGAGAAAACAAAGTGCTGACCATTTTGTTTGGGAAAGGACCGCATAATCACATAATTATGTTTCATGTACCTGCAGGAAGCGGTGAATAGTCTTGAATGAGTGTAGGTGACACACTAACCACTTTGTGTAAATAGTAAGGTCTTCCTGTGTCACTAAGTTAGGAGGATTGTTTTTTCCCATCAGGAAGTTTTCTCGAGCAACAGACAACCTTTCTGCTCTCTGAAGAGCGTTACTGTACTCCTGCATAATGTAGGCGACTTGTTTCTGTTTAAGAGATGCGAGGACAGAACTTGGTTATTTGCAAGCCTTATCCTCTTGTGTCATTTGCTTCCAAGCATAGGATAATACTCTTTAGGGGCCAAATAAGGGGCTCTTGGAATACTAAAATTCTTTTATATTCTGCATTTGACTGACAAGGGCAGTGGCCACATTCTTAGGATTTCGAAGGAGGGAGACTCCAGCAAAAAGTCAGTGCATAAGAATGTTTGATAACCTGAGTTGGCTTTTAGCTTTTTATCTATAGCAGAGGAGGATAAGTCTATGAAGAAAAATTCATTTCCTATAATATACAGCTTCCTTCAATTCTTATTCTTAAAAACAAGTACTTATCTTCTACCATAGGCAGAACAGGTAAGTAGGTGCATCCACTATTTTCTCTCCCATCTTTACCTATGACTTTAAAAAACTGACAAGTTAAACTGTTGGCGAAATTGTAGATTGGTACAGCTATTAGGGAAAACAGTATGGGGATTCCTCAAAAAATTAAAAATATCTGACTACATATCTGAAGGAAGCAAAATCAGTATCTCGAAGAGATATCTGTATTCCCATGTTTATTGCAGCATTATTCACAATAGCCAAGATATGGAAACAGCCTGAGAGTCCATTGTTGGATAAATGGATAAATAAAATGTGATAAATATACACAATGGAATATTATTCAGCCATGAGAATGAAGGAAATCTTAATATTTACAACAACATAGATGAACTTGGAGGACATTATGCTAAGTGAAATAAGTCAGCAGACAGAGAAAAACAAATACTGCATGATCTCACTTGTATGTGGAATCTAAAAAAAAAGTCAAATTCATAGAAGCAGAGATTAGAACATTGATTACCAGGCTCTGGCAGGCAGGGAGATGTTGGCCAAAGGGCATAAAATTTCAGTTATATGAGATGAATAAGTCTAGAGTTCTAAAGTACAGGCATGATGGCTATACTTAGTAATAGTGCATTGACAACCTTATTGACCATTTTGTTTAATCATGAAAAATAGCTCACAGGTTTTAGTCATGGGCTTCCTACCTTGTAAAGAGGATAAAGTTGCTCCATGATCTTACTGTGCTGGCAAAACCTCTTCCACCTAAGCATGTGCAAATATTTACTCAGGGCCAGCTGGGTAATTCTCTCTGTGTAATACTTTAACAACAACAACAAAAAATTAACACTTAGAATACAATTATAATAGGAAGACTAAATTAAGTCTTAAGAATACTAACAACAGGAAAATAGGTCTCTGCTTATTTTGGAAAGATGGATTTTTTTATGTGAAAATCATAAAATTAAGAAACCTGGCTCAAGATATCATCTAAATTTAAATAAAGAGAGTAGGTATGTCTAAATCTATATGATCTGTTGCCAATCTAACAGATTGTAGTTTAATTTATCAATTAGTGAACAATTTTAGCAGTCACATAAAAGCCTATACAATTGTCTAAGGCTGAACTTAAAATTTCTTAAAAACTGAAGTTATGAATATAAAATACGAAGCACATTACAGGTAAGATTAAAGCTTTTAACCTTAGGCCAGAGATTTTATTTATACTTAAAAGTAGTTAAAGAACCCAATTCCTTTTAAAATGTTTTATTTCTGATAATAGAAATAATACTGGCTATGACAGAATAAGTAGGACCAGACTTGTCCTTCCATCATAAACAATTAGAAAATAGGGTAAACTACACAAAGCAACTGTTTTCTGCCACGGGACAACAAGCAATGCAGGACTGTGGTCCTTGAGAGAAAATATACAAATGAGATGAGACCTACAATAACCTTGGTTTTCTGCCTGAAGAAGGCAATTTCTGAACCACGGAGTAGGAAATGGAATCTTAAGCAGAGCTCGATGGTTTCTCTGAGTTGGAGGGAGAGAAACAAAAGTTTGGGAAGCTGAATCAGCTGGAGTTTGCAGTACTGAAGAATAGGAAGTTATGTAGAGAAAGGGCCTCAGAAATCTGCATAGAGAAACCTTTGAGTTTTTTGCTATTAAGTTGTGCATATGGAGGGTGAAACTCCACAAGGCTGTGCAAAGAATAACTGACTAGGGAACTAACTGTAAACTGAACAGTTTTAAGATTTCATACAGGGCTAGGAAATGCTCAAGTGCCAATCGGACAGAGTAAAGCGTCCTCGCTGAACACCTGAGGCATTCAGTGGAGATATCAAAAGGGTCACAATTTAGTAATAAGGATAAACTATCCCTGGAGTAAAGATCACTCTGAATCTGCTCTAGCAAGCTTAAAAATCAAGCCTTGAAAGCATAAAGCTGATCTACAACTTAACACTCTTTGAAAGTCCAACACTCTTTAGAGAAACACAGAAAAAAATCAGCATTCAAGAATGTAAAATTGCAGTGTCGATGTCAAAAAAAATAGTAGACATGAAAAAAAGTAGGAAAATATGACCCACAAGCAGGAGGATAATTAATGAAGCAAAACAGACCCAGACATGACACTAATGATGAATAGCCAACAAAGACTTTTAAAAAAGAGCTATCATTAATATGCTTAGTATATTTAAGGACCGAAAGGAAAATGTAAACATAATAAGAAGAAAAATAAAAAACGTCAGAAACAATAAAATAAAGCTTCTAGAAATGAAAATTATAGTATATGAAATGAAAACTTTATTGGATGGAATTGACAACAGGTTAGATAGTGAAAAGAAAAGGTTAGTGAACCTAAAGATATAGCAATAGAAACTACAGAATGAACTACTGGGGAAAAAGGACTGAAAAAATATTAGCAGAACCTCTGTAACTTATGGGACAATATGAAGTGATTCAACATATGTGAAATTGGAGGGATGGGGAGAGAAAATACATTCGAAGAAATAATGGTTGAAATAGTTTAAAAAATAGATGAAAATGATGAAATCACAATCCAAGAATTTTAACCAACTCCAAGCAAGAGAAACACAAAGAAAACATAATCAAGGAATATCATAATAAAATAGCTTAAACCCATAAAGAGAAACTCTTAAAAGCAACCAGAGAACAAAAGGGCACATTGTGTTAGAATATGAAAATGATGCAGGCCAGAAGACAAGGGCACAATATCTTTAAAGTAATAAAAGAGAAAAACCGTCAACCTCCAATTCTATATTGGACAAAAATAACTTTCTAAGTGAAGGCAAATAAAAACTTTTTCAAAAAAAAAAAATTCTGAGAGAATTTGTTCTTAGCAGGTCTACACTACAAGAAATGTGGAAGAAAGTTCTTTAGGCAGAAGATAAATATCATCTAGAAACTGACTCTACCAAGGTTTCTCAACCTCAGCACTATTAACACTTGGGATTGAATAATTCTTTGTAGTGGGGGTTATCTTATGCATTGTAGAATGTTTAGCAGCATCTCTGGCCTCTACTCACTAGATGTCAGTAGCAACCCACTTCCGTTCCCAAATTGTGATAGCCAAAAATGTCTCAGGACATTGCCAAATGTCCCCCATCTCCACCCTTTCCTTCTCTCCAATGAGAACCACTGACAGACACAAAGGAATGAAGAATGCCAGAAATGATAGGGTGAAGAATCCTAGATGAAGATAATGACAACAATTTGACTTGCAAATAGAATCTCAATGCCTTTTATTCTTTGTGATGCATTTATTAATTACTAACTAGGTGCTAATGAACTAATTTGTATGCATAGTGAGGATATAACTCATAACATGAGAGTGAAGAACAAAAAACTTTAAAAGTCAAAACAATACATGCTTATTATAGAAAATTTTAAAATATGTAAAAATAAAAAGAGGAAATTCATTTTCCTGCCATCCAAAGACAGTGACTGATAAGTTTTTGTCTATGTCTTTTAAGTGATTTTTCTTACATGACCATTATTCATCCTCTCTTCTCTCTGTCTCTCTCTCTCACACACACAATTTTTGTTAAAAATATTACATAATAACATAAATATTCCTTATGCAAAAAAATGTTTAGTGGCAGAACAACGTTTTATCAGGTACTACACTGTTTTTCTTAACTCTTTCTCCTATTATTAGACATTTGGACAATTTCTTTCACTTTTATTGGTATAATGCTGTGATAATAATCTTTATGGAAAATGTTTTTTTCTCCATGTTGTGTTATTTTCTTGAGAATGAACTCCAGAAATATCTTCCCCAGGTTGGCTAACAGCTTGTTGAGGACTGAGACTATCTTAGTCAATGTCATATTGCCTTATAGTTCCAGCACGGGGAGTGATTAGTAAAAAATTGTTTTGTGGCTGTAACTAAAACCTAACTATGACATGGGTCTCTAACAAAGAGGAGCATTTATACTAAGTTCTGCAAACCACACATGTAGAGAAAATCCTATTCTGGCCAGAGGATATGCTAGAAAGCAAGCTTTGTTCATACATTTCCACTAAATTCCAGGCCTATTTTTCAAACTACAAAATGACTCTTACCTGTAGCAGAAGCAAAGGTAAATTTTCAGGAGTGTACTCTCTTCTTAGGCAGCTCTCTAGCTCCCTCTGCATGACATCTGCTTGAATAACAAGGGGCTTTGACTCAGCCACCTGAATGCCAGGCAACAGAAAGGCAAAGGGGGAAGTAATAAAATTATCAGTGCGTATGACAGAAAATGACATAAAATTTCTGACCATTTTAACACAATACATTATGCCATTATATCTACATTTCCAAATACAAATTTAAATGTCACAAATCAAGGAATCATAAAGTTTAAAACATCACAAAAATCAGCTATCTCTAAAGAAGTAGTGACCTGCTCTGATCCAGCAGCGAGCTCAGTATCAGGCTGTTTCGTTCTTATAACCAGTGTCAATCACATCAGCTCTGTCTGCAAAAAAATTTTTTTTCCTGCAAAGAGTTTCCAACAAGATAGCAAAATCTAACTGATTGTAGTATTGAAACAGCTCACTCTCCTACTCACCTGTAAAGTTCTCTTCAGAGCCAGTTCTCTTTCTCTTCTATAGTAAGAAATATCCTTTGGTATTCTAATAGAGCTGCAGAAAAGTTTATGCAATAAAAGCTGTAATTATAGAAGCTGTAATAGGTAAGATTATAGGTAGGCCCTGGTTAATCTATAATTCTTCACAATTACTCATTTTTAAATTAGTATATCATATTACACTGGATTGCTGAGGCTATGTAAAGGCCACATGTTTCGGTCTGAGTCAGGATGTCTCTCGTGTGTACCTCATGTTTGCTAAACATCTCCTGGGGCCAGTTTGCCTCTCCTTCTCCCCCTGTACTCTGGATTTGGAAGCAAGGAAATAAAGCAGAGGTAGAAGAGATTCTTTTTTCTCCTGCCTGTATTTCCTCCAGTAACTTTATCTCTAATGACTGTTGTGCTTATCAGACCTATATCTCACCCTAGTTGACACATAAACCAGTATTTTATAATCTAAAAAAAGTTCTTATTTTTATGTTCTTGTTCAATTATCTAATGATGAAAATGACCTTTAAATATAAAACACGAAATACTTTGGATATCATTTTAACCAAACTTTCTGCTTCAGGAAAGTTATTTATCTCTAGGAAAAAGTTAGCAGAAGTGCCTGCTTCTGCAGCCTCATGGACTGTGGTCCAAGTCTGGTCACGAGTGTGTTATTTGCACCATATGCTCTGACATGTGGAAGCACAAGCAGCATCCAATAAGAGGGCGCCCAATAAGAGGGTCGAACCCTGAGTCAGGAAGAGGGGAGCTCTCCCTATTTGGTGTAAGATACTCCCCAAGGCTTGGCAGCTTTGGGAACATCAGGGGACAGCAACCCTGGTGCATTGCCACTTTCTTAGGATGAGACTGGAACACATGTGAGAGATCATCTCGAGATTTTAGGGGGATTGTATGCGCTACAATTTAGATTGATGTTGTTCATATGACCCTACCAGTTCCCACGGATGAGTTTTAAGAAAGATGAAAATAGACTGTACACTTGCCAGAAGTCCCCCCTCCTCTCCACACACACCCGCCCCTCAAATGGAAGCACTGATCCTTTGAAAAAAGCACCAGGCTGACAGGAGGTCCCCCAGCTATAGGAGATTAAGTAACCCATTGAGCCATTTGTGTTGAAGTTCCAACTGGAGTCGAAGATAATCCCTCCCCTATCTCCTCACATCTTGGCTTTGATGGAAAAAAAAAGGGGGGGCAACCTCTGAAAGGGACTTCAAAGTAAAAGTATTAATAAATCAAAAGAGTAATTTATGTGATTACTGGGTATCTGAATCCTGACTGCCTCATGGAGGTAGAGAAGCAATAACCAACTAGAAAGGGACCAGCTACTTACTAAACAAGCAGTCAGGGAAACAGAAATAAAACCCACCGCTTCCCTGCCCTCTTGTCTTCTAATTCTTTGGCACACTGGGAGACTGTGGGGTCCTGGGTTTAGCTGTTCCAACTCTTTCTTACTTAGATCATGTCTTTCCTCTCAGTTAACCTCAAAGTATCATGAATGACCGAGAAGAGATTGGTGAACATAAGTGGTATGTGCATCAACCCATAAAGAGATTCACTCATTTCTTCAAGTTTTGTTCATGCAACATTCATTTATTTATTCAGCAAGGATTTATGAAGCACTTGACAACTACGACAGCCTGGGTTTTAGGGGGTAAAACGAGGAAAAGAATGCAAAAAAAGAAAAAAGGAAGGAAGGAAGGAAGATGACTAAGGTAGAGTAATCCTCCAGTTTTCAATAGATTTTTCAGTCTAGTGGGGAATGACAATGCTAAAGTGATTATCAGAAGTGCACATTTTCCATTTTCTTTGGACTTGAGAACCTAGTACAACATCTGGGAAACAGAAAGTGCTCTAAGTATTTGTTAGATTATTGGAGGAGTAGAGAAACACAGGTATCCAGAAATTTCCCATCACTCTGTCCTAGAAGGGACTTCGGGAAGCCTTTGTTATCACATTGTACCATGGGGAGCACTTGCCTGACATTTAAGTTGTAACAATATCAACACTTGATTGATTATTGCATGGTGTTTTCTAGTTTTCAAAGTGCTTTAACATGTATTATCTCAATTGATCTCTATAAGGTAGACATATTTTTTTAACCTCATTTATGAAGTAAAGAAACCAAAGTTGAGAGAAATTATGACTTGCATGATTCCATTATCTTTCTACTTCATCACACAACCCTTGGTCTGTTTCCCGCGACCGAGGGCTTTAAATACTAAATTGTTAAACATCCAATTACTGGTTCTTCAGAATCATCTTTGAAATGAGATACTAATGCACATACTTACTGCTTCTTTTCCTGATCTTCCCTCCCAACCCTCACCAACCACATTATGTTTACTTGGCTACTCAACCTAACAGAATCCTTATATTGTTCTTCTTGATCGACAGTGGCAGTAACAGAACCAGACGGATGAGAAGATCTGGGGCACATGAGACTTGCCATTCAGGGGCTGATCTGGCTACTTCGTCTCACTAAAATAATTGAATTAACTATCGTTGGCAGCATTTACCTATAAAATAGCTCCTAATAGAACATCGTTTTGCAGAATTCACTACCAAATACCTAGCATTATTTAAGTTTTGAAATTTCTCATCAAAATCAAGGTCAAATTCAATTAAAATATTATTGGAGAAAATTAGTTCTCTTTTCATTGAGTATGATTTGTATAATAGCTTCTGGAACTTTAAGGCAATGATATTTGTGAAATGTAAGAGCATGTTTCTATTTTCTTTGGTAGGACATTGCCTCTAAGTGCCTTGACAATTCTAGAAAATAGGAGCAGCAGTCAAGTCTGAGCTTGAGGTAATGACAATTGTCCAAGTGAAAAGAAGAGGGGTGGCTGATGGAGATTATGGGGTGAAGGTGGGGTGAAAGACCCTAAAGGCCACGCCTTCACGCTGCCATTGTTTACCTGTAAGCTCGCTGAGCTGTTCCCAGAAGAGTCCCCTGTTCTTCGATCTCAGACTTTAGTTCAGTCAATTGCATAGCCAGTTCTTTCTCCAACATCTGGATCCTCTCTGTGGAAGCGATCTTATAAATTTCATCCATGGCTTGCATTTACTTTTTGTATCCCTGCAAAAAAAGAGCAACAAAGCTTGTGGCTGACTCACTCCATGAACATTACCCAGTGTATGAGACTTTGATGATCTTCATCCAAGAAATCATGTCAACTTTGTGGAAATGTATGCTTTTGCAATTTGAAGAAATAATTGGACTAGACTTTTGTCATTTATGATTTAATTACGATTTAGTAAACAGAAGAGCAAATAGGATAGAATCTTCATTGACCATAGCTTTGTTCAGTCTAGTTTACCTTCAGAACCATCTCTGCTCCAGCTTTGACTGTGAAAGTTTATTAAACTAGAATGCATCCCACGCCTGACCCCTGCAGTCTTCATAAGGGCTGCGGGGATTACACACTAAATGCTATTATATAAATGGCGGTTACAGCTGACTTCTAATATCACTTCAATTGGAACAAAAAATAAGTGTGTCCAGGATCCCTCTACATGCCTAGAACTTTTCTTCTTTGAAGGCATGAGCTCCTGACTAGGGCAAATATTTGAGGGTTGAGAGCTAATCATGATCCGTGCACTTTTGGGTTTGGAAGAAAATCGTACTTGTGCATTTGAATGTTTTCTTCATTTTGAATGCTTACATTTGTCATATGGCCTTTATCATAAAATAATTGATAAGCCCCCACCCAGTTCACAGCCTGTCAAATTCAACACAATCGTTTAGTATTTAGTTTCAATATTCTAAATAATGACATAGATTAACTGCATGACCCAGAACGGGACTCGGAATTGCAGAGGAAGATGATGTGTTTTCTGTGCCACTGCTGCCCTCACCTGTCCTGGGCAAGTAGGGGCAAAGTCACTCCTAGGTCACATTAAAAAGGTTTAAAATATTTAAGCCTTCGTTTTTTCTTTTGATATTTCTAAGATTTTCATTTTTCCCTTCAGAGATATTTCATTTTCTCAAGTTAATCTGCTGCCATTTCAACAAATAATTAAGCTGTAGAGATGTTTGGTGTAGCAGCTTCCTTTGAGAGCCTTTTTAAAAAACAAAATATTAAAAATGGAAACGAGCATACATGTTCAGCCTAGGTTGTAAACCTGCTGAGTAATAAATCTGTCATGTTTGGCACACTGCTGGAACTCAATAAAATGCACTGTTGTTGTTCCTAATGAAAGTAAAATGTTGCTATGAAAAATATTTGACACTTGGCAGTGTCCTTTCAAGTTGGGCAAACAGTTAAACAGCTGCCTTAACAGCTGCATTCTGACCGCAGCCAAGACCCGCAGCAACACAGACTGGCTGATTCTTCTCCCAAAGAATGGGCATTCTGCCTTCATTTCCTGATCAGTTTCAAAACTTCACAGCTCAGAAATGAGAACATTTAATCCTGCACTATTTAGCTTGCTGCACAGTCAGGTACAGTATTCATAAAATTAACATAAGGAGAAGGCCGTCTTCAACAACTGTCCATGGAATAGATCCAACCCCGAGGAATCCATGCCTGCTGAGCACTCATGTCTAGCCTTAAAGAGACAAACAACCGTTTATTTTGGGAGGAGGTGACAGGGTAGGTTCCATTTATTGAGCACCTACTCTGTGTCAGACAGTCACTGGACTCTCATTTCAAGTTTCAGAAAAGAGATTCTCAAGAACTGCCAAATTGTGTTTTTTAAAAAATAACTACATTTAACTATTGATTGTAAACAAACCAAAAAACTCTTGTTTATGTGTTTAAAAAGTGGTAAAATCTAAGCTATAAGATATAGATTAGCTTGAGCAAGGTTTGAGGGTGTTCAGTGGGTCATTAAAGTGAGCTTTGATGGGGTTAAAGCAGGCATATTTAGAAGAGAAATATGTACTAACTTTAGACGCTGCTAGAAAAATGTATAATGCATGTCAAAAACTTGAAAGTGACTACTAAAAGAATAGAAATGTAACCAGAGCTTCCCAAACAAGTGGAGGTAAGGGGTAGGAATGAGTCTTTTAAATTCAACAGAAGGCAGGAAAAGAGAAAAAAGGAAACAAAAAGAAGTATGGTAGAAATAAGCACATATTTCAGTAATTATGATAAATGTAAGTGCTAAGCCCATCTATCAAACACATAAATCAGCACAGCTTCAAGCATTTTTAAAGCCAGTAAAATTTAGTAATGTAATGTGTACCAAAACAAAAATAATTTTTATTCTAGCCAATGCCAGAATTTATACTGATAAGCAAGCTGGCCCTATCACTGTGGGACAATTAGATCTTCATGAAAATCTCCACGGATAGACACTCTATAACTTCCCTGGGGAAACGTGTTCAACACTTGGTCATTATTGATCATCAAATATTCTTCCTGTGTGCAAATGAAATTTCTCTTATTTATATTACACACCATCTTCTGGATCCGTAGGGGTGAGACTAAACTATTTAAACAAATAGTCACAGTCTTCAGTGTTTAAGGAACAAAGTCGCTTAAGTGTGTCTAACACAAGGGTGCTGATGTGAATGGTCCACCTACCCGCTCCTCGTAGGTACTCAAGTACCCGGGTTCCAAGTCAGCTCCACCATTCCCTGGACATTGTTTAGATGAACACATTAATGTTTTCTATTCAGTGTGGCTCTAGACCATGACCTTTGGTTGGGTGAGGGGGACACATGCGACAGATAAATTTGATGATCTGAATTGAATAATCTGCTTCTACTTGTAGTTTACCAAGAATTTCAGTTTATTTTCTTGAATGGGTAATACATTGCATTTAATGTGTTTTCTGCATCTATTGAGATAATCATGCGATTTTCCTCATTTATTTGTTAATGTGGTGAATTTCACAGATTTTCGATTGCTGATCCCAAAAAGCTTTCTTGGAATAAACCCCACTTGGCCATGATTTGTTCTTTTTTAAAAGAAAAGTGAACTCAATTTGCTACTATGTTGTTTAGGATTTTTGTATTTACATTCATGAGAGAAATCGGCCTGTAATTTCCTTATACTTCTCTTGTCAGGTTTTGATATCAAGATTATATTGCTCTCTTAAGAAAAAGTTGTGAAGTGCTCCCTTCTGTATTTTCTGAAAAAGTTTAAGATTGGTATTATTTCTTCTTTAAATGTTTGAATTAATTCACTTGTGGAACATTTTTCAACCTGAAATCATCTTTATGGGAATGTTTTAATTACAGATTCATATCTTTAACAGGATATGGCTATTCATATTTTCTACTTTTTTATGTTAATTTAATTTTTTAAAAGAACATTCATCTAAGTAGACAATATTTTTTGGTGTAAGGTTATTCATAATATCCTTTTGTATTCTAATAGCTTTGTTGAGATACAATTAATCCATTTAAAGTGTACAATTCAATCATTTTTAGCATATTCAGAGTTGTGCAATCCATTTTAGAACATTTTCATCATCCCAAAAGAAACCCCATATCCATTAGCAGTCATTCCCATCTTTCTTTAAGCCACCCCACTCTCAGCTATAGGCAACCACTAATCTCCTTTCTATCTCTACAGATTTACCTATTCTAGAAATTTTATATAAATGGATACATACAATATGCGGTCTTGTGATTGGCTTTTAATTTGCATGTTTTCAAGATTCATCCATGTTTTAGCATGTATCAGTATATCATTCCTTTTTATGGCCGAATAACATTTCATTGCATGACTATACTACATTTTGTTTACTGGTTCATCACTTGATGGAAATTTGGGTTGTTTCCACTCTTTGGCTATTATGAATAATGCTGCTATGAACATTCATGTAAAAGTTTTTGCCAGACTGTTTTCCAAAGCAGTTGCACCATTTCACACTCTCAGCAGCAAAGTATGAGGGTTTCAATTTTTCCATATCTTTGTCAACACTTATCTTTTTTTTTATTTTAGTCATTCTAGTGGGTGTGGTGTCTCATTGTGGTTTTGATTTCTATTTCCCTAATGGCTAATGATGTTGAGCATCTTTTCATGTGTTATTGGTCATTTGTATGTCTTCTTTGGAGAAATATCTATTCAGATTCTTTACTCATTTTTTAACTGAGTTTTTGGTTTTTTTTTTTAGTTGATGAGTTGTATGAGTTTAATATATATTCTAGATACATGTTATCAGATATATGATTTGTAAATATTTTCTCCCATTCTGTGGGTCTTTTCACTTTCTTAATGTTGTCTTTTGAAGACTTTTATCTTTTTAATGGCTATAGAATGTGTAGTGCTGTCTCCTTTTACATTCCTGATATTGATAATCTGTGCACTTGCTATTTCATTTGATCAGTCTTGTTAGGGACTTAACAATTTTATGAATCTTTAAAATGACCCGTACTTTGTTTTATTGTTTACTCTAATTTGCTTGCTTTCTCTTTCATTGATTTCTGCTTTTATTATTCATCTATCTATCTACCTATCATCTACCATCTATCTATTTATATTCAATTGTTATACCAATTAGTTAATTTAAATCAATTATTTTGAATTACTATTCATTATCATTTATCATTTACTTACATATTTATTGCTAGTAATTTATTATACCATTCCTTTTACTATCTTAGATTTAACCTGCTCTTCTTTTTCTAGCTCTTGAAAAGGAAGTTTAGATCAATTATTTTTAACCCCTCTTCTTAGCATTGTTTTAGTTGTATCACCCTTTTGGATGTTGTGTTTTTATTACTTTTCACTTAAATATTTTCTAATTTTCATTGTGATTTCTTCTTTGATCTATATCTAACCAGTTATTTAGAAGTGGTTCTATTTGTCTGTTCTTAGTTTCTAGTATGATTTTACTGTGGCCTGAGAACATACACAGCATGATTTCAATTTTAAAAACTATTTTAAGCTTGCTTTATAGCCTAACATATGGTCTATTTTGGTAAATGTTCCATATACACTTGAAAAAAATATATATTCTGTTGTTATTCTATCTAGGTCAATTAGATGAAGGGGATTCATCATGTTCAAATCTTTTACATCTTTACTGATTTTTTCTGATCTTTATGATATATTGAAATAGGTATATTAAAAGCTTTGACAATTGTTATGGATTCGTCTATCTCTCCATTTAACTCTGACATCTTAGTTTTGTGATTTGAAGCTTTATTTTTGACTGCAAACAGAATTGTTAAACTGTTTTTCACTGAATTGAACTTTTTATCATTATGACATATCTCTCTTCACTTCTAGGAATACTTCTTAAAGTCTAATTTATGTACTAG